ACTGAGGAATAGCAGAACAGCACAAAGGCACAGAAGGAAAAGAAGCATCTTCTCACTTAGACAATTAAATGCCACATTTCCTCTGATAAAGAAACAAACTCCGAAAAAGTGCTGGTTAGAGACAGAAGCCAACCTGGCAAGTCACAACAGGATCTAAAAAACCTCCATAAACAACCAAGAGTAGGGGAAGGCAGGTGCACAACACATGCTTCAGGTAGCAAAGCTCCCCATGAAGACTCGGGGCTTTATATCAGTTCTCCTTGCCCTCAGTTTGAGTTTCTTTTGGAGGTATAAGGCATCCACAAGAATCATGTAGGACAGGCAGGACACATGGAAATTCCCACATTGGAGTCATAGCTCCATCAGAGCCAGTGGTGCTTGACAGGTAACCTTCCCACATGACATATTTTTGGTTACATACATAGTAAAAGAATGCCATGGAATCCAGTCACGAGGGTGAGTGGCTGTCCTAGTCAAGCCATTTATGTATAAGCCCATGGCAAGCTATTTTCATTGTTTCCTGCCCAGTTTTGCAATTCCCATTTCTTGGGGTTTCACCACACAACATACAAATGTTTTAAAGACCCTATTTGAGGTAGCATTCAGTGGAGGACTTTAATGCTACTGAAGAATGCTTCAAAAGAAGTGGGTATGGTTGTTGCTTTAGTGTTTTGTTGATGTTAGTTTGGGTTATTTATTTATTTATTTTTAAATGCACCAAACAAATGGGATTCTACAATTTAATTTATGGAGCATCCCAGGGATCATTGGATGGCTCAGAAAATCCTTTGAGGGTGAGAATAACTCTCCAATATCACAATCTGACCCTGGATCCTTTCCCTAGGCAACTGCTGCAGAAGGAGCTGCACCAACTGCCTCTCTGAGGTTGTAAAATCAATTCCAGAGCCTCCAGAAAGTTGATGTTCCCATAGGTGGTAAGAGGAGGAAACCAGAGAATCCAGGAGATGGATTATCTTGAGCCTTTTCCAGACTTCTTTCCTTTCTCTCTGAAACACCTTTACTAGATGTGATGAAAAATACATCTAGCAGAAATCTAAGAAATCCAGGGGGTGAAATTACCCCCCACTGTTCCTCCCAACCTGTTGCCTTCAGCTTAGCAGGGCACAGGAAACTTGGTGGCCTCTGAGTTTGGGAGCGTCTATGTGGCAATGGCATAATTTACCCAATGGCTTAAATCCTATGCCTGCTCATCTGGAAGTAGACCTCACAGAAATCAGTAGTACTTTCTAAGAAGGCTTGCATAGGATCGCATAGTACATATGCAATCCGGTGCATGTTTCCCCAGAAGTAAGCCCCACTGAGTTCAATGAGATTTCCTCCTAGTTCGTTGCATATAAAATTGTAATTTAAATAAACTGATAGTTTGCAAACTAACTGTGAACAAAACACATCCATGCAATCTTCCTATACAGGTACCAGTGAAAAAGGACACTGTCATTGTCCGATCGTGGTACAGATGTCACTTTCTGTGTGGGTGTGAGAGAAAGATTAGTGCCTAACAACATATTGTTGTAAAATGTGTCAGATAACAGAAGGTGTCTTTGTGAAGACAGTAAAACAGAGTATCTTGGCCCCCAAATGCTAAGAGGGGGCTGTGGGAGGGGACAGGAGCTAAAGCCTTTGATTTAAATTAAAAGGATGCTGTATTAATAATATATAAGCGGAGAGAAGGTGTCCCCAAGCAGGGCACATATGGCTGAGGGCAGACTCAGCGGTGCACAGTCTCTTCAAAGAATTCTGAAAGGTCTCCTGAGTATATTCGAGAACAATGCCTGACAAAAAGAGGGGGGAAATAACAATAAGGTGCAGCTTATCATTGAATCAACAATGATGGTTGACAGTTGAAGACACTAAAAAGCTCTCCCTCACCCAATGCAAGGCAACAGATGATGGCTCAGGTCAAGGTTTGGATACAGCTAGGGAAACATTTTGCTAAACAGGCAAAGAGCTGAAAGGAAATTCTGAAGTGCAAATTTGCTCTCACATCCCTTCGAGTGGAGGGGAGCTGTTTCAGGGCAGAATTCATTTTCAGAGAAGCTCTTGGAGTGGCGTTCCAGGAGTCAAAGGGAGACAAAGTTGAAGGGGTGAGAACATAAATGGATAGGGCCAGAGCTGAATGGAAAGGGACGTAAATGCACAAAATTATGAGTATATTGTAGCATAAGTGACACTAAGCCATAGGAGATGCATTTCTACCTTTTCAAATGTTGCGTGTAGGGAAGTGCACAAAAGCCAGGTAACCACCAAAACAGCCACCTGATCAAAGGTTGGGGGAAAGCAAATGGACCGTCCCAGTGGCCATTATATTTCAGCCTGGTCCACTTGAGAATCTTCTGCTTTTATCAAGAGCAAATGGAAAGGCAGAAGGATGGCTAACACAGTTCTCCACTCCTCTCCACTCCTCTCCTCTCCTCTGCTGCTGCTGCTGCTGCTGCTGCTGCTATAACCTCCACTGGACTTGACAGCCAAGCCCAGAGTACTTGCACAAGGTGATTACGACCGTGTTCTACAGGTTGGCAGGACATGCTAGCTTTCCATGAGTAGGAAACTTTGGCTGTGGAAGACCATTCAAAGGTACAGTCTTCCCCCACCTGCATAATGAACTGGTTCAATCATGCAAGGATTATACCAAATACTTTTACTGAGAATTCTATTATCAGGCTTAAAATGCACATGCAGCTGTATAAGGACATGGAATATCTAGGTGAGGAGTAAGCAACTGAACTTTGTGAATTTTTAAATGTGCACTTTTCTCCTAATATGTGCATTGCCATATGCAATATCGTGTAATATGACAATGTGCAAGGTATTTTTGCAATATAATACACTTTGAAAGTAATTTTTACAAAAGATAAGCATTTTGTGTATATATGCTTTTATGCATTTTTGATGGAAGAACTCCATTCCAAAATTTGGCATCTGTTCCAATGGAAATGGAAACTCTATGCTAAAAAGGCAGATTCTGCAATACAATTGTGCATTTACAAACAAAAAAGCCTGCATTGTACTTACTCTAGAATTGGCTTTCGAAAAATAAATTTCAAGTTTATGCAAACAACAGTGTATGAATTGGCCATACTACAGGCTGCAGGCTGGTAATTGTAAAATGGAAAAAGCAGATGGTATCCCCAGATTTATTTTTATTTGATTATCTCTATGATGGCCCTTCACCATCCTTCTTTCAAACGTTTATCTATTAAAGGATGGGAGGGACAAGCTAAAGCCATTTAGAGCTGCATTCTAAGTTAACTTGACAAACAGCCATCAAACTTTGGATACCAAATGAACCACTTCAATGGAATTTCATGTCACCAAGTGTTTCTGACCTAATCTTTGATGAAAAGATGTCTTGTCATCAAAAATTGCAATATTTCATATCACTTAGCAGTTCCATAGTTACCAGTGGCTAATGATACATTATAGATTGTTTTTCAAAAATGGTCTCCAACTGCTTGCAGAAGTACAAAGAATCTCTTAAAGCAGCATTCAAATGCAGGAAAATCTGACAGACTTCTATTCCAGAGTCTCTCCCTGCCGCTCAACAGGAATGATGACATCTACAATTTGCTTGCTTACTCCTTTTGATCATTTATTTATTGTAGGTTCTGAGCTTGATCATTCTGCATTATTGTCTCTTCCCCATGTTTGTGAGTCTGATGAAATTGTATCCAATGCTGCGGATTTCATCATTTTAAAATTAAAAGTTCTTAAGTCTCTGGGCTGCTTGGGGTACCTCCTGCAGTCCTCAGGCACAGCAGACCTGATTCCAGGTAAGAGACAGCTGAGAAGCTGCCTGTAGTACAACAAAATTAGGCCAAACTAATTGCAAGTTTAGTTGAGGTTTGTTTATTTTGGCAACATGACACACAAAAAAGTCTTTGCGCTGAATGTAACATTTTTAACAAGCTGCTTATTTTAATATATCCTACATTTTAGGGTATAGATAGACCCAGAAGATGCTACTGATCTTGTTTCCACATGACCTCAGATGGGAGTTTGTTGTACAGACCTCCTAGAGCAGCCCTTCTCAAGCTGACTGTCTCTAGAGTTGGCAGACTACAACCATCATCCCTTCCTGCCAACACACAAATGATATTTGGGGGACTGGTCTTGTAGCCCAAAATATCAGGAAGCATCAGTGTGAAGGATTACGCAAGGACACAGGTGGGCAATTTGTGGCCCTTCACATGTTTGGCCAACAATGCTCATCAGCCCTAGCTAGCGTAGCTAATCCTGAAGGCTCATAGGAGTTGTAGGTCTAAACATCTGGATTGTCACAAGTTTGCCCACCCCGTCCTACAGTATTATGCAATGAAGGAATCTTTAAACTATTAGATGTTCCCATTAGCCATGTATTTTCCACATTTGCCTTGTGTTTCACTGGATCTTATATGTAGTTTGTTAATAAACGTTAATATGGGGAAAGATGGAGCAAAATTGCATAAAGGATGCAGTCAAATTGCATTAAATGCTTCATTTGCTTTCTGGTAAATATCCTCCAATATCCCTGACTGTAAATGTGGACTTTTTGTTGGGGTGGGGGTTACCCTGTGGTTTGGAGGTAAAGCACTAGCCATATTTTGCCAGTTTGGATGCCATCATAAACTATGGCCCACATATACTAGTAAAGGGAAGACAAGATGCACATGTAAGAGGAGAGGGAAAGATGGCCAAATGATTGTTGAATGCTGCATCTTACTTGAGCCAAAAAGAGTAGAATGAGTGCGAAATAATCCATCAGGAATTTCCCAACTCCAGTCTTGTAATCAGTTAGCAACCCGTGAGATTTTTCTCTTCTGTTTCCACAGGTGAGCCATTAAATACACAGACTATAAAGAGTCTGCAAACAAAACAAGGCCAGGAGAGTAATCAATCAATGAACAGGTGGTCTAGGTTTAAAATTTTATCTGCCAAAGATAAGAGCAATAAATTATAAAAGGAAGTATGAGAGTAATTGGCTGCTTTTTCAATCTGAAAACAAGATGTGGGTCTTTCTGCTTTTTGTGGGTGTCACATCAGCTTTTGCTGAAGTTTCCGTTCACAGATTTGATGGGTAGGAATATGTAGCAATCTTAACTTGCATATTTCAGAGATGATGAATGTCTTTTCTCTTACAACTAATTTGCTTCTGGCATCTTCCATAGAGAGAAAGTCTATCGGGTAACCCCTCACCATGAAGAGCAGATAGATGTCCTCATCTACATGGCCAACAATATGCAGGTAAGTTGAACTGGAGGGCTGGGTGGTTCTGATTCAAAGTAATTTTCAATAGTGTATCATGCGGATAAATAATGAGACTGGCCTTGCTTGCATTGCTTTCGGAAGACAGCTGGCTTACCTGAGGAAAGGAGCACAAACTGCAAAAGGGTCGCTCTTCTTTTCCAGAAACATTGAGTGTGAGAATTCAGTGGCAGTGTCTGGTCTGAGAGGCTCTTGGACAAGGGCCCCTGTGGCGAGGCGGGGGTGGTCACCAGCATGGCCCCAGCAGCTTCATGCAGTCACCCAATACACGTAACACACACTTTTGCTCTCCTCTCACTTGCACTCCCTTAATGACAGTTCTCCCTTTATTGCCTAGCATGACTGACAACAACTCAAAAAAGTTCTGGGAAAGGGGAGAACTAGTAGTTTTTCTTTGTCTCCTGAAGTCTGGCAAGCAAAGCAACAATGAGTGAGCAACAATGCTTCAGGTGCCTCCTTTCAACTGTTCGTCTCTGGCTGCATCCACAGTAAAGCTCCAGCAGCTATCACTGGCCAGGCCCTCCAGCAACCATCTTTGTAAAATGTTTTTGTGGACGGAAGGACCTCTTTGTCCCCTTCTTGGCTCAGAAAGAATCTCCTCTTGCTTTGCCAGGTAACCATGATGTCATAGAGGTTCCATTGCAGAACTGAGATTCTAGCACTATGCAAAAAGCATTTCTTTCCCTGCTTTTCTACCACATGGTCTCTATGCAGCATTGTGGTATAGCAAAAATAGCACAAATAAGCAACATAAAATCATGGGTTTTTTGCTTTCATTATTAAATGCTTCATTTTCGCTGATCTAAGACATTCACCTAGAACTAGAAGCCAGACTGTAGACTCATGACTTCATCTAAAGAACCCATAAACAGCTGTGACTAAGGAACAATAGAGTGTGATAAATGCCTTGAACAAAAAAGCCCAAACTTAGGTGGTGTTAGCTTCAGTACAACTATAGCAAAACAGAGCCCCTGAGAAACAAGGAGGCACCAGCATATTCTGGGCCCTGGGGAGCATCAAAGCTTGTAGAACTGCACCAAAGCTTTATTTAAAATACACACAGGGAACCCCCTCCCCCTGGGAAAAAAAAAAAGGTCTGAGAGCCGCAAAATGTTGACAGTCAGTTAGAAAAGAGGAGCAGTAAATCTTTGGAGTATCCTGAAAGAGGACATGGCTAGTTGACCCCCGTGTCTAGCTGATGTGGGCAGTGGAAGTTGTTGTTGTCTATCTCATCTGAAGGGCAGATTTAGACTCTTAATCAATTTATCCCTCTTTCAAACTGTCTTCTTGTCCATGAATATTCTCTAAAGCTCTTGTCCATTCCAAATGTGTTTTGTAACCTTGATGTAGATATATTATGGCACAAGAAAAAACAAGTAAAGATAGCAGATCTGTTTTCAATATTTGCGTGTGGCTTTGATGTTGAGAAATAGCTGCAAAAGAGAGGAGGGAAAGATGATAATCTCCACCATGAAATGTGGCATTTACAATGATATACAGATGCAGAGGGGCTTTTCATTGACCATAGGCCATTGTCAGACTCTCTCCCCCACCTAAGCTCGGCTCGCCATTATGTCTTAAATTCTATGTCCAGTCACATTAATGGGAGTTTTGTTTTGCTATTCACTGCTTTGAAGCCAGGGATTCAGTCAGGTGAAATGTTGACTTCTCACTGTGTTTGTATAAAGAACATGAAGTTTTTTGCTTTGTGCTTGGAATCATGGATCTGGAAGACCAAGAAATCTTTCCAACCAAGCCTTCCCCAACCTAGTGTCATCTAGATGTGTTGCAATACAGCTCCCATACTGGATGGAGATGATGGGGTTTGGTGTCCAATGCTTCTAGGTGCAGTCAGGTTGGGAAAATCCATTCCTGCTTCTTCAACAAAGTAAGCCCACTGGTTGCTAACCCTCCAGCCCAGGCAGCTACCATTAACAAAATGACAGAGCATATGGTTTGCATATAGAAGGTCCTAGGTCCAACGTTCCCTACTTTGAGTAGACCCATTAAAATCAATGGGATGTGTTTTTACCCATAGATCATAATCCAGTGCAGAGTTAGGCATACTGAAAGATATTTCAGTGGCCTTCAGTAATTTCTAAATGGATTGTAGAATTACTTTCCCCAACCCTGTGCCCTCCAGAATTGTATTATTGTTTGTTGCTATTTAGGTTCCCAGGCTGTATAACTCCTTTCCTCCTACTTCCCTTCCTTTTCTCTTCTTAAGTTTTAATAGGAAGGAACATAGGAACTGCCCTAGATTGGTCCATTTAGCCCAGTATTGTCAACACTGACAACAGTTCAAGTTTTTAGGCAGGATCTTTCTTATCCTTGAAGATGGAAGTGGCTGAACTTGGGATCTTGTTCATGCAAAAGCCCTTATAAGATGCAAGGAACTGAGCAATCAGCTAACATTTCTGAAGCATCTTATTAAAACTTAAAGAAAGGAAGAAGGCACACATTTCAGTAACTTTAAAAGTAACTAAAGGGTTCCTTTTTGATTGATTGATCCCTCAATCTAGAAGATTGATGCAATTTTGGATATGAGTCATAAAATTTCTGAATGCATAAAACAATGGTACATATGTGAGTACATTTTGCAGGTGTACATTTGACCAGTAAATAATAGTCTTTAACTAAACAGAGGTTCCCCAGACTGCAGTTCTGTGCACACTTACTTGGGAATAAGTACCATTTAATTGCAGGATTACATCTGAGCAAACATTTATAAAATTGGACTATTAGTCATCTCACTCTGTGTGATAACTCACAATGAAAAAGACTTCATGGTCTGTTGAATCTGAATTCCCTAACTTTAAGTTTTCCAGTGCCTCTTTCATAAATCCTGGAGAAAGAAAACATGCCTTGTGCTATCCTTGTGACTGACTTGCACTGAAAGTGCATAATAAACAAAGCCCATTTAAGGAATGGTATGATACATGTGCATGTGGAAGAGAAAAGATTAAGTAAATAAAGCAAGGCCACAACAAATGCAAAAGAGGCAGAGTTATTTTTGATGCCAAAGAAATGGCATTTATGTTTAACTTAAGGAGAGAATTCAAATTTACCACAGTATATTTAGATGACAACTCTCTGTTTATAAGATTATAATCCCTGCGGTAATAATATTTTGTTCACTCCTTAGATACCAAGGCAGTAGGCACCTTTTGAATATGCATTATTCAGAAGCAGTCCCATTCTGTCCATCCAAATGAAATGACACCACACATTCCTATCTTAGCAAGACATGCAAATGTCCCTTTGAGGTCATAAATTCACAAGTCATTGGGTTCCCATGAGTGACAATGCTAACATGCCTCTCAAGCCAGTTCCTCATTGTGAGGCACATTTGAAGTCTGGCCTAATCCCACCTGTTTTCCAGCTGTTGAAAGATTTAAGTGTATGGACATTTGAACGGTTGGAATGTGGCAAAGTCAACAAGATAAAGTCTTGGAACAAGTACAGATAGGACCCTGACAGTGGCCATAACACTACACAGTAGTGGTTTGCTTAAACTCTGCATGGATATTTAAAGACATGGCTTCTCCCACATGGTCTGTTTTCTTCTGTGTCTTACCAGTATCTGGATTATGTTTGGCCAGAAGAAAAGGGAAGCCCCTGTCTGTGAGTGCAGCCATACTAAGGAACTCCCTTTGCAGAAGTCATTCCACAAGGTGTAGCACAAGGCATTCCTCAAGAGCCTAATCAGACATTCTAAAAGCAGGTTGCTTCAACATGCAAAAGGAAGTCCTCTGGGCCCATCCCCCTCTGCCATCCCCCTTGTTGCTCGGTTTCCATGGAGGAGCACTGTCTAAAGCGGACAGTTCTTTCTGTGGGGGCTCTCCCTGTGAGCTGAAGCATGGATACTTCAGCCTTCTGGATTGCATAAAGAGCCACCATGGATAAAGAAAGATCCCCACTTCAGTCTCCTCTCATATGTACAGGGGGATGATAACAAGGAAGGAAGGGGGCAGGGCAGGAACATTCCCACTCTTTGCATGTTTAAAGAACCCCATTTCCAAATTCCTCAATAGGGCTAAGTATTTCACAAGTAGGTGCACAGCTCCTTATAACTTTATTATGTTAAGTGACGTTTACATTGGATTGGACTAGGTGTTCTCACAGAACAAAGCCAACTCCTATATTTTCTGTGCTAGCATAAAACTGAATATAGCCAAAGAATTTCAATAAGACCTCAATGGTAAGATATTTAGGAGTTCCACAGACAGTATTTTTGTGCTGAAGTGTATTTTGCTGCCTGCTTTAATTAATGTTATAGCAATGCTGTTATAAGCCTAAGAAAAGGCTCTAAACAACCAAATCCATACCTGCAGACTGATCCAAAATGAAACTACATGGACCTACTTTATGGCCTTCTTTTTTTGGTTCTCTTTTCAGATTGATTTCTGGTCCCCAGCTTCTGCTGAGCAAGTGAAAACAGGAATGACTGTAGATTTCCGGGTCGAGGCAGACGCATATTCTGAAGCTGAGACTCTCCTGCAACAAAATGGACTGGACTATGAGTATGTTTTTTCTTATGATATTTGTTCAATTAATATGCATGTGTTAAATACCACACACATCTCTCTTTAGATCACAGGTAGGCAACTTATGGCCTTCCAGACTTTCATCATCCCTCAACCTTGGCCAAATTGGTTATGATGAGAGTTGTTATGCCCAAATATCCAAGGGCCCACAATTTACCAGTCCTACTTTGTGTCTTAAATTAAAAGAAGTCATGGTAATTCACTACTTAAGTAGACTCAATTTGAGATACATATTATTGAACACTACGCACTGACAACGTACATCGCCAGGTCTTTAGGATAGCCTTCATGTCCTACTTTACATGGGACAGTCTTCTATTTGAAGGGCTGTCCAAGATGAAGGTGTGTCCAAATTCTGTTTAGCATTAAAGAGCCTTAAAAAGGAAAAACAGGAAGGGTCTTGGAGTTGTTCATCAACAGCACCCAAAAAAACACACAGAAGACTGGTCAGTCTTCTCCATTATGGTAAGACATTGTATATTGTATTTCAATTCTAAATTTGTGCATATGCATGTGTATGTGCAAGGATATGTGTGCACACCCTTGTGTGTGTATGTTTTATGGAAATTGGTGTCCTCCTTTGTCTTCTTATGTCATGGAATGGCCACCCTACCATGCTTCCTTCAAGTAGTGCGGTACACCAGAAAGCTCCCAAGCACATCTGCTGGTGTAAGGCCTTGCGGGAGAGAGAGAGAATGCGAAAGTTGTACACAGAGCCGGACAACATGTGATGTTAATCTTACAGCTTAGCAGTTACAGTTTAGCATTTTTTAAACTGCAAATAGCAGTCATAGAGGAGCAGGGTTGGAGAGGGATGACTACATGCCACAGAGGGGTCCTTTTCTTCTGCTATTAAAGACAAACGAGCTGGTCTTGGTTAGTAACCTAGAAGCAAAGTTCTGCAGTCCTTTGATGAAGCAGAATTGTCTTGATGACCAGGGAAAAGTTACTCCGCCATGTGTTGAAACACTTCCTCTACTTCTAATTTAAGTACGCAGTTTGCTGCACCAAAGAGCTGTCTAAGACATTGTCCCTGACAAACTTCAGTGAAGTGTCCTTGCTTGCTACAGCCAAAGGACTTACAAGCCTTTGATGTGTAGCTGCATGCCCTGACATCATGTCAATGTCACCAGTTCAAGTGTTCATTACGAAGGCAGGGCATGCATAGCAAGTTGACCTCTCTCTCTCTTCCCACCCAGATCATGGTGACCAAGGACATCCAGTTTGCACATTGCTTAATCCTAAAGCCATTTTATTCAGGGTAGAATGGGAGAAAAGTGAGGAACAGGAGATTTCTTTTGCTCTCACCCAGTCATTGTGCCAACAGTTCTAAAGGCATTCTGGGAAACCAGCTAAAAGCAGACAGTTAGGAGATCTCACACAACAGTTTGAGAGAGGTGTTTGCTTCCCTTAGTTTGTGAAAATTTAGGTTGAGCATGCACACAACAGATCTGTCTTCCACACTCCCCCTGCATCTCTGAAAATCTTGCCCCAGCCTGGGAAGCTGTCCTGCTGTTATGCAAAGATGGGGAAATTTCCTGCTGGGGAAATCTCCACCCCAGCAACTCCCAAGAATTGCTCCAATATTGAGTTCAGCTCTTGGGCCACAAGCAATTCCAGTTCTAATGCCTGAGTATAGTATTGGAAGGCAGAAGGGCAAGAAGCAATGTTGTCCCATCACTGTGAGCAGGATCAGACTCTTGGAAGACCTGGGGGCCAAGTACCAATAGAAAATGAAAAGTCCCACCCTTTTATTTGTCCTTATTACTGTGTTATTGCAGCATTTTGATTGATGACCTTCAGACCACACTCGATGAGCAGTTTGACAACCATGCCCGGTCCGCGGGATACCAGTATGAAAAATACAACCCGTGGGAAAAGGTAAATAAATAAACAAAAGAATTCACATGTGAAAAATCTTTCTCCACTTTCCAATGGGGAGTTGTCCTTGGAAATGCTGCTTTGCTGGGAAGGGTCCACAGCTCAGAAGCAGAGTACATGTCTTGCACATATAAGGTTCCAGATTCAGACACTGGTAAATTCAGTTTAAATCTTCTCCAATAGCAGAGCTGGGAAAGGTATGTGTCAAGACCCCAGAGAATTCCAACCAATCTGTAATAGACTAGACTGCGAGCACATGGGCCAAATGCGTACTTCCAAACTCTCAGTCTAAAGCTTCAGACAGTCCCCAGCACATACCTCCCTCCAGCTCTGCTCTAAGTTCCTGATATTGTTTACTCTATCCTGCCTTACAGAAGAGAAAAACAATATATCTGCACCAGTTGTTTTCCTTCCCTGATTTGTGCACAGTTCCTCAGTCACAAAGGTGTTGGGGGAAACCTTGCACAAATCGGGGAAGGGAAATGCCTTGATACAAATGTACGGTTTCCCCCTCTGTGTACTCACATCCATGGCACTGCTCAATTTTAGCTCTGGCATTCCTACTGCTGCAGTTTGGCCCCTCATGTGTGTTGACTAAGCTAATACAGACCTTGACAGGAAAATGGCTCCCCACCCCTGACATAGACAGCGCCAACCTACAGGGGGCAGCATAACAGGCACTTATTTAGGTATTTGTTTTTAACTCAACAGATAGAGGCTTGGACAGCCAACATGGCTAATGAACACTCAGATCTCGTCTCCCGGTTGCAGATAGGAACAACCTTTGAGGGACGCCCAATGTACGTCCTGAAGGTATTCACTTTATATTTCTTTAGCCAATCTGTTCTGTCTTCTCTTGGCAGATATGAAATAACATTATGTATTATGCACCTACAAAGTCCAGATTTGTGTTTTATTTTATTTTTAATAAATGCTTTAGGAAACCCAGCAGATTTTGTAAATTCTTTTATGGTGACATTTTTATCCTTTTTGATTTATAGTAAGGGCTTCCTAAATAGCACAGACTGTAATAAACACTTTGACAGTTTGCATGTATAAATTTAAGTATGTTCCTGTAAGCAAGGTAAATGGTAATCTACCTTTGTGTAATTGCATACTCCATCTGTTGTTTGTAAACCTATTTGCTATAAAGCAATCTATAAACTTCAGTCCTTTCCCTCTCTCTCTCCCTCTCTCTCCCTCTCTCTTGGCAATGGAAAGCAAAGAATTAATCAGCTTTTCCCTGCCTGAGTTGTTCATATAACTTCATACAAACAAAAGAAAACAGTTTAGCTTTGCTCTTATTTTGAAGATCAATTCGGTATTTCAGGCCTGTGTAGTCCAACCTGTGTTCCTGCCCCCACCTGTTTCCATGCATGAGGAGAGGCAATGTGAGAATAGGGTGGCCACTTACACATGACCAAAAAAAGGAAAGGTGTCACCCAGAAGGAGAACAAAACGGGTGCTAATTTGCATACAATTATGCATGTGCTGATTTATAGGTATAGGTGAGAAGTCAGCAATGCATGGCCCATGGGCCACATGCAGTTCTCACCACCCCCTGGTGCAGCCTACACCCTCAGACACCCCCAATATGTGGGGGAGATTTCTCATGGCCAGCTTAGTGTTACAGTTCTCAGTTTAAGATCGGTCATACTTCCTGCCAGCTACACAGCATTAAATGGGCCACATTTGGTTTCAGAACCTGCTACCTTTCGCCTGCTTAGGGCTTTCCTTGTTGCTGTTAAAAAATGGACTGTGCCCTAGCACCACGCAAACCACGGAGGGGTCCAACGGAGAGGAGAACAGCCTCTGGACTACCCAAAGCCAATGCAGCTGCAACCAGGAAGGGATTGTGATAATTGAAATATAGCATGTGTGTCAGCACAGTGGGGGAGCTGCGGACCTGCATGCCTGCTCGGTCTGCACTTGCCCAGCAACGTCAAGGACCCCCCTTTTCGTTCTGCTTGGTTCTTCGCCTTTAAATCTGGCTCGAGGCTGACTTTTATTGCAGTGCCGCATCGCCCGAGAACATCCTGTGACGCACAGTGCTGCTCAGTGCTGTCTCTGGTGCATTCTGCCTTTCCTTTTATTCTGCAATATTCTCAACCAGCTTTATTCCCACTGCCCTCAGTTGTGGTGTAACCCATTGTGTGCCGCTCACTCAGCACTCCCCTTGCCTTCCCTGAAGGGAGATGGAGGGCAGAGGAAGTGGCCTGTCTAGGTTCAGGCCCTGAAAAAGAGCAACTCAGAGATCCTTCTGTTGCTTTTCTGCCTCCTGCCCACCTCGCTGCCCAGGTCTTCTCTCTCTGCCTTACAAATGCTGTTTCACCTCCCCTTCAAAGAAAATTTGTGGTGTCTTTTCTTGCTTTCCCAATTTGTCCTCTTGCTTAAGAAACAGCTGACTCCCAGTCATGTCTACTCAGGAGTAAATCACATTATCATCAATGGCTTTATTCTCAGCTAAATCCCATTGACTTCAGTGGAGCCAATTCATTAGAAAGTCTGCATGGGAGAGAATTCTACGTGCTTACCTTTGGGTGGAAGGAATGAGTTTTCTGCTAGTCTTACTCTGTAGGAGTTGCAAAGGCAGGAACAAACTTTTTCCCTTTCCATGATTTGTGGCAGAGGCAGAAGAAGCTCTGTTTTTCCCATTTTCACTCCTTCACTAACTGAGCTTCAAACACAAAGCATGGGAACCATGAAGGACCATTTCCCTCATGCATAATACTAATAGTGCTAGGGAGAGCACATATGTATATACAGGTCAGACCAAGAACTGGCCTTTAAAATTAAGGACTGATCTCTGTAAAGTTGCACACAGCCACCTTATCTGAGAGCAGGCAAGGCTGTGCAGATTGTCTGGCTGGCTACTCTGAATCCCTTCAGGGAGAAGATACCTGATCAAGTCGAAAGAGAAGTCCTCTAGATGGAGGAGAATCTCCTGGAAGCCACTACCAGAGAATCAAAAGATGTAAAATCTGTCCTCTCATATGTAAAAACCAAGTTTAGCTAACATTCCGGAATCACTCCCTGCACTTCTTGTCTGAGGCCCAACCCATGGAATTATTTCTGTGTGTGATAACACCACACTGACTTCCAGCAACTTCAGCTCATGCTGAGTATGTTGCATCATATCAGGTGGAATTCTGGTCAAGTTCTGCCTGTGCCACACTGACATCATAGCTTGCAACATTTGCAGGCAATTTATGCCTTGATGTATTCTTTGTTAGGGCAACAGAATGTTAATGGACCAGGATGTTCAGGGAATGCAGTGGTACCTCGGCTCACGAACACCTCAGTTCACAACCAAATCGGGTTGTGAGCAGAAATTTCTGAAAAAAATTGCCTCGGGTTGCAAACTCCGCATCAGGTGATGATTATGATCACACCTGCCTCCCCACACCTGCCTCCCACACCAAGTGCGCCCGCTTCAAATTTTTGTGATTAAAATATAGTTACAGAATGGATTAACCTTTTTTACATTGAACCTTATGGGGAAATTTGACTTGGGTCACAACCAATTTGGGTCACAACCAGGGTCCTGGAACGGATTAAGTCCATGAGCCAAAGTACCACTGTACTTCTTTAAAGGAACCAGTTGGTACAGAATGGTTTCTTGATCATCCCTGGAATATGGGAGTGCTTTGGGCAAGACAATTCATGTTTCCTTCTGCCTCCCACAAACACACAGAGCTAAGGGTGAGTTTTAAGTTCTCTTTGTTAAAGAAATTGAAGTTGGAGACAGCAATACATACTGAAAAGCAGAGAAAGTACAAATATAAACTGTACCATGGAGGTGCAGGAACATCTGCTGTGGAGCAGGCATCTTCTGCATGCTAGGAGTTGTTATTCTCTTTGCCTCCATCTGTGCTCTACTTCTAAAGAAATCAGATCTTACAATAGTGCTCTAGGTATCCAGTGAACTCTCCTCTGAATGGAAGACAAACCCCGGTCACTTTACCAAGAACTTCTCATCACTCAGTGGAATGGGGAGCAAGTAACAACATGGAATATGTTTCCATGTTACTGACACATAGTTAAAAAGGTCATGAGAATAGGCACTAAGTCATTAATCGACATTCACAGGGTTGCCTTGCATGAACATTTCCTAAGGATGCAATAAATCAAGCACTGCTGCTGGGCATTCTGGCTTTATTTCAATGTGGTTTGTGTGTGGCACTGAAGGAGATGCTCCTCCTGACATAAACAGTGAGTCATACTGCCAGTGCTTGCTGGAGTTCAAAGTTTAGTTTTCAAAGTTCTGCCTAGGATCACTCTCACATTGACCTAGACCAAGACAACACAAAAGGTCTCAGAGGCAGTTTCCAGATGAAGAAGTTCTCAAAGTTAGGAGACAAATGGTGCAAGTGATCTGGCCCCAACTTGGTGGCCTCCAGATGTGTTGGGTTGCAACTCCCCTTATCTCCAAACAGCCTGGCCAATTGGATGAGGACAATTATCTTGTATTGCTTACAGTTAAATTTTGTATTGCTTGATTGTAATGCTCTAAGGTATAATTGTATTTGTTTAAAATATGTTTTGTTGTTGTTGTATTGTAAGCCACCCAGAAGGCCCCATGGGTGGCATACAAATGAAATGAAATGAAATGAAATCAATACAGCCGGAGGGCACTAGGTTAGAGAAGGTCACTGCAGATAATGGTGGACAAAACGTTGTGTGTTCACTGCAGAAAAATTGGGAATACATCAACATCTTGCAAATGTCAGATTCATTACCTCTACCCAGTTTGTTAAAGGAATGAAATAAAATGGCTACCTTAAATGCACCCCCATTCATAGGTGCTGAACTGAGAAGGATTTCACCCATCTTTGCAGATGAGGCAAAATGTTCTGGGTGATTTCACACGGGAGCTTACGGGAACAGAAAGCACAGCAATTCCCTCCTTTTTAGACACTGATATCAAAATTGAGCTGTTGCTGCCTCTGAGACAACAACAGTGGAGATTCCAGCCTCTAGCTGCCACATCTACCCCACCCCCACCCCCAAATGCCCCTGGAATTAGGTTGTGGCATTACAGAGGCTGGGGAAGGTAGAAAAGCTCTTTTGTCACTGCCAGTGTAGCTGCCATAAGTAAGATAAATAAGGAAACACTGAATATTCTCACCCCACAGTCAGCCAATATGCACCCAAACCTTTTCGGAATCCACGTATATACTCACATGCCCTGCAAGAAATTGCCTCAAGCGTCCACCAACACATTTTGCTGAAATTCCTTATGATCAAACTTGCAGTCTGGCATCAGTTGATCAATTGCATCAGAACAATGAGTCTTGCTTGCAGTAAGAGTGAAAGATCACTTCTGAGTTGGTCTTTGTGATGTGTGATGCTCAGTTGAGGGTCCCTGACCGAAAACACATTCCTGGGGTTTCTGGATGTAAAGGATGGAGTTCTTGCTCCAGTGATTACTTACACGTTTCTGCAGATGGTGCTGGCTCTGTTTCTACATGACAAATTTCCCTCTTGTGCACAAGAGAAGGAAGCCCTGTCCTCCTTTGCATCTGGTCTCTCCATACATAACTATTCTAAAGGTATATCAAAGCAATGTAGCCCAGTTAACCAGTCTCCAAAATATAGGGTTTTCAACAGGGATAAAATAGGAATCTAGCAAGCCACTTTAACTATGTTGATTTTCTAGAGGTGAGAAAATAAGACACAGTAGTACCTTTCCATTCCAGCAATGAGCCTATTTTCAGTAAAGTGAGGCATAAGGCTGCAGTCTGAAGAAAGAAATGTATATGCAATATAGATTGCAGCTTCTTCCTCAATTTATTCATAATTATTTTTATTTACAGGTGGGAAAGCCTAGTGCTGGTAAAAAAGCCATCTTTATGGATTGTGGCTTCCACGCCAGAGAATGGATCTCGCCTGCATTCTGCCAGTGGTTTGTGGGAAAGGTTGGTGAGCAAAGCATATCAGCACTGACACAACTGGAAATGAATTTTATGCTGGTTTTTTAAAAAATGTATTAGCAGGTCCCCTTGACACCTGAAGAGGTAAAGAGTAAGTGAAGCAGCAGACGCCCCCTCTAGGTTTCCTAATACGATCCTGAAGTTTCCTAAATTATCTCCTTTCCTAGAAAGACCCTTTATGTTGTTCTTTGATTTTTAATTTTGTTCCTAGGACTAGACTTCTGTGAGGCTTCAACAGCAGCAGAATTTAAAATATTTTGAGCTAAATCACCCAAATTTGCCACTCTGTTGCAAGAACTGGTGTTGCATCAGATACCTGGGTGGGCATAGCTGAGTGAGACATCCCCCCCCTCCCGCCCAGGTCTCTGTAATACATTGCAGGTCAGCCCCCTCATCCACAATTAGATCGTGTATGAGGGATGTTTTGTTGTTGTTGTTGTTGTTGTTGTTGTTGTTGTTATTATAACATTTCTATGTTATGGACCGAAGAGCCAGACTGGATCAAACCAAGGTCCTTCTAGTCCAGAATTCTGTTCACTCATGACCTACCAACTGAACAAAGCGACCTCCAGGCAGGACTTGAGTGAACATAAGCTTATATTCTTTTTGGCACCAGGTGAAAACCTTTTTATTTAACTGTCATTTTAAGAATGGTAAGGGAGACATACAGGGCTCTTTCAGAAGCCACCAGGGGAGAAAATCCAACAAGGATTGGAACCATGGTCTGCAAAGAGCCTGGCAGGTTGACGAGGAATTCCGTGTGGAGCATTAACCTCCCCATGCATGCACTTTTCTGAAAAATGGGGCTCAAAGATAGGTCACAGCTCATTCCTACCACATGCCTACCTTCCCATTGCCTGAGTAGACCTGAGTCAGTGCCAGTTTCAATTACCCTCCCAGAGGCAGCTGACCAGCAACCACTGGCATTTGGGAGTGTGGGGGAAACCTTCCAGTGTGTTACAACCAAGCTTGTGATACTTGCAGCCAGGAAGACCAACTGGGTTTGCTTTCACTGAATAGCCCTAAATTGCAAGTCCCAGCTGTTTTGAGTCCCGTGTTTCGTAAAGGTTCTCATGCTGAAATATATGCAGCAGCTGCCCACTCTTAAAAACCACATCAAGTAAGCTGAAGTATTTGACTCTAGAGTGTGTTGGCAGACACCCAGCAGTGACAGGCCGTTCTCTTGTGTCTGCCCAGATAGATGGACAAAAGCAAGCCTGGAAACTGAAAGCGACACTCCAGCCCTGCCTTGGGGAATGCATTCTCCTTATCGCTCCCAGTTAAGATAGCAGTGAATAAAATGTTACCCCATTTAGCAGTATGAGTCACTATGGCCATTGATGGCCATAGAACAGTCGATGGCCTTTAGAACGGTCAGTCTCTGACTTTTCCTTACTGAGATTGCGTACGATTCTTAGGCAACTGATTAAGGGAACAATCCTGTGGTCCCCAAACTGCACCTAAATTGTTCTGGTTCTCAGATCTGATTCTGTATTCTGAGTTCAGAGCTGTGAATTGAAGCTCCAGTCCTTTCCTTCCTACCCCCCTCAGCCGCCTCTGAAAAAAGATGTGCCAGCTTCTCCATAAGAACAGAAAAACTGCAACAAAGAAGTAGAGAAGGGCACATTTTGGAGAGCAGGAACATCTGTCCTGATGCCTCTTCGGCCTTGTTCCTTCCCCCTCTGAGGTGCTAGAAAAGTATGTAGGGCAAAGGCTTATATAGTTTGCACATATATTCCACTGTATGGGCATGCATTTGTGGATTGGATTGGAAGAATCTCTTGGAATGTACTTAACTTCATCTGGCCTTTTCCACTGGTCTTCCCACTTGATTCACGTCTTCAATAGGAGGGCTGTAGCACAGAGGTGGAGCGATGCTTTACGTGCAGAAGGTCCCAAGCTGAGATGTTTTAAAGCTTTGTGAGTTACCCTGAGGGACCTACAAGATTCCCAAAGCAACAGATGGATGCATGCATGCAGAGAGAGAGGGGCAGAGATTTGGTTTCTAACATCTTTGTGTAGGATTTGAAACAACTCCTGGCTGAAATTCTGCAGAGCCCCAACTAGTCAACTTTTCTACATGAGGCTATTAATCATGTCAGTGCAGTGTATCTACCTGTGGATCCATTTCATATTTGAAATTTGAGCAGGGCTACCCAAAGAGCTCTTCTTTTCTTTCTTTTCAGCTACATTCTCTAGGTGGCAGTGTGGTCTGGCAAAATAAGGCAAATGCAAAAGTGAGGGGGAAAGTATTTTCTTTCCCTTTTACAAGTAAATAGCACCATTTCCTGCTCTTTAAAAAAATCACTAAATGTATTGTTTACACCCAGAAGCAAACTTGGAGGATCTAATTGGATGCTGTCTAAGGAACCCACACACATCTGTGAGTAGAGAATGATGAGCACATGAAATATGGCTCATGTGCTCATCATTTAGAAAGGGCTTCAGACACACCAGTCTCCTGAGCAGTGTAAAGAAGCTTTCTTTGCTCCTAACAGCCCAGCCCTCAGCATGCTCACTCTTTAACAAGTCCTACTGTTCCTGGAATGCGCTCCCCAGAGAGCTCCGCCTGGCACCAACAGTATACGCTTTCTGGCACCAGGTCAAGACCTTTTTATTCACTCAGTGTTTTAAAGTTTAAATTTTCATTGTGTTTTTATTAATACCAGTCGTTGGTTATTAGTGTTTTAATATTATTATTGTTTGGGCTAATTATATGATATTTTATATTGTTGTATTTATTGAACCATTGTTGTAAGCCGTCCAGAGATGTGTAGTAATTGGATGGGTTAGCAATGTCCCACAAAATAAAATAAAATAAAATAAAATAAAATAAAATAAAATAAAATAAAATAAAATGAAGGAAAGGAAAGGAAAGGAAAGGAAAGGAAAGGAAAGGAAAGGAAAGGAAAACTGTGTTCCATAAAGCAGCAGTCTAAAACACAAATCCTTTAGGAGAGTGTCTGGCCTCTCCTAACCTTGTCCCTGCCACACCCTGACGTTCCTCTGTTCTCCACCCCTGGTTTTTTGGCACAGCTTCACTTTTGGAGGAAACTTCTATCAAAAATGTATAAAGTTTCTGAAATAAATAGAATTCAGATCCATAAGAAAGTATAGTTTTCAATAGCTTAATATTTCAGAATTTAAATTAATGTACCAGGTTGCACTAACATTTATATTTGCTTAGAAATTAGCATATTGGTGGTGCTGATCTAATTAAAGGGGGAAAGTCACCTTCACATATATTCATGTCATCTGGTACACCTTTGATTTACTTGCTGCTACTTCTCAATACCATTTTAATTCTTCAAGATCACTGATGTCAGAAGTTAATGAAAGGTATTATTCCGACTCATGAAATTGTATACAGAATGAGGCCAATAGTCTGGGTTTATCATAATTGGTCTCAGAATATGTTCTAAAAACACATGAAGTGGCCACCACATTGAAGCAAAGCAGATCTGGCTCTGGTCTAAGCTTGGAGGGGAGACCACCTGGCAACCACATGTCACCCCCTCAAGTTCCATGATGGAAAAAAGTGGGATATCAATGAGATTCTTTATATATACCACACATCTTTCTGAACTGTCTTTAGGCTGTCCAAACCTATGGAACAGAAACCATCATGACCCAGCTTCTGGACCACTTGGACTTCTATGTCTTGCCTGTCTTGAATATTGATGGCTATGTCTACACTTGGACTAAGGTAAATCACACAGTGGTTTTTTGAATAAAAATCTCGAAACTTGTGTGTTAGACACAATCCTTCAAAACAGTGCCTTGCTCCAAGCTTTAGCGGACCCATGGGCAAGGCACCCTCAGTGGGCTTCTTCTGCCACTTATCTATCTTCTCACCATCATTGTCACCAGGTACTGTTGGTCTTCATCTTCTTCTCATCTTTGCTGCCACTTGCTTGGTAAGCCAAGAGCCTGTGAGCAAGGAGGTGGTGGCAACTTCTGTTCCTCTTTCTCATTACCACTATAGTCTAGGACAGAATGAACTCAGGTTGCAAGAAGGTTGCAATGATGAAGAAAGGCTTACCTAATGGACTGTCCAGTGGACCCCTGTGGGCAGGGACTTTCAGCATGTGCCAGACCATGCCTACCTGTCAAACTAGTCCCACTGCAAAGCTAACATTCTCAAATATGGTCCATTTCAGTCTCGCATGTGGAGGAAGACTCGTTCTGTAAATCCTGGCACTAACTGCATTGGTACTGATCCCAACAGAAATTTTGATGCTGGATGGTGCAGTAAGTACAGCCTACAATATAACGTGTCCTGAGAAGTAATATATGGCCCAATTCCCACCAGCTCATTCTCAGTGTCCCAAAGTACCAGCAGTAGTTGGGCTCCAAGTTAGTGATTCAATCTCCCACAATCTCAACCTTTGTGGAAATATAGAGTAGTAGGCAGGAGAGGCTGGTGTCTCCTATGTCAGTGGAGCTCCTCATCCACTCCATCTCACCCTTCTAAGCTCCATCCCCATAATATGCTCACCACAACGGGGCACTGAGGATAGCTCTTCTTTGGTTGAAAAGAAAAGCTGCAGTGGATGAGGAGCCCTCTTGACACAAGGGTCACCAGCTTCCCTGGCAATAGTGCAGTCTTGACTCTGTCTACTCAGATGTAAGTCTCACTGACTTGAGTGGGGCTTGCTCCCAGGTATGTGGACATAGGATTGCAGCCTTAGGGTGCAGTCCTGTGAAATTCTTCCTGTTGATGGTATGTTCCAAGGGTGGAGGCAGTTTTTATTCAAGCGGCATTTTAACTGTTAATATTATTGGATTTTATCTGGCCAGGGCGGCTTATTTTATACTGTATTTTTGTATTTTTAATTTAATGTTTATATTTTTAATTTATATTATAATTATTGTAACTTAGTGTTGTAAGCCGCCCCGAGGCTTCGGCGAATGGGGCGGCAGAAAAATGTTTAAATAAATAAATAAATAAATAAATAAATAAATAAATAAAATGAGCAAGGCATGAGAAGAAATGACAAAGGTGCTTTCACTTCCTATCCCTCTGTACAAATGTGAGTGACAGCTAGACAGACCTCTTAGCTTAGTTACCAGTGTAAAAAGAGACAGGTCTCCCTCCCATCCTTCCCCAACCCACTTTTTATTCCCTCTACAAGGTCATCTAATGTTGCTTTTGCAACTTCAGAAAGCAGTTGTTAGGGTGGTCATTGCACTCTGGGGATGATGTTTGTAGTCCAACATATCTGAAGGTCATCAGGTTGGGGGAGCCTACACCTTACCTTGACTGTTGCACTACTGATTCTAACTATTTCTGTTTCCTCTTTCCTACCGCACACAGCTGTTGGCGCGTCAAAAAATCCATGTGATAGCACCTATTGTGGCTCAGCACCTGAATCAGAAAAGGAGACAAAGGCCTTGGCTGATTTCATTCGTAAGCACCGCTCAACCATCAGGGCTTACTTGACCATTCACTCTTATTCTCAGCTGCTGCTGTTCCCTTATTCTTACACTTTTGATGTGACAAAGGACAATGTGGAGCTGGTAAGTAGAAACTAGATGGCTCTTCACTTTCCTGAGTGAGTATGGCTGTGGTGCACGTGTCCTGAAATCGTAGCTCTTCAAGCTATCATCTGCATTATTTTCGTTTTTGCAATACATTGGCTCCTCTCTTAGGTCAGAAACAACTTTCAGGGTGGGTTTGTTTTTTTTACTCTTGGTTAAGATGTTTGGGCAAGTCTTGTGTGCCTAAGATGTTTAGGCAAGTCTTTAGGCAAGTAAAAGGGATATTTACTACATTACAGGAACTAAGTGGGTATTAAAGAGCTGTGCAGGAGCTGAACTAAGCTCTTTTAGGTCACATACTCTAATTTACTTTTACTTACTTTTTGATTTTTAAAAATGTACTTGCTTTTATCACATTATATTGAATTGTATTGCTTTTTGTCTATTTTATATGCACTGACTTCATGGGATGGATTGTGGTTTATACTTTTAAAAAAATCAACAGCACAATCCAAAAAGGCTGCCTGCAATCTACATTTGTTGGATTATGGGCATTGCACAGGGGGCAGCATCAGCAAGGAAACAGGCTTCCTCCCTTCCCACCCCAAAGATCCTCTTTCTGACATTGCTTTGAGCGACCTTGGAGCTGCAGCGGATGCATTTCTTTCCATGTCAGCTGCAAGGGCAGAGGGAAGGCACTCTGAGTTCAGAATCCCACCTCCGACCTCGGAGCAAGTTTCTGACATCAGACCTGGGACTGTGGATTATTGCATGGCCATCAAAACAGTGTCTAGTGGGCCACAGGATTGTTCCCTAAGTAATAAATTACATAAATTGTACTTGAATTGTAGCCCTTGCAGGATTTGAACTATTTGGCTTAAATATATCCCCAGAGCTTGTGGCACATGCTGGGCGCCTATGCACAACCTTTCTTTACCTCAATCCCTGCCCGTAGGTTCTTGTCTTGTTCAAACCCAGTGCGCATGGGCTGGTAACATGATTAAGAAACCACCCAAAACCATGGATTGTTACAGGATTGTGGGTGGTTTCTCAATCGTGCCAACAACCTACATTGGGCAGGTTCATATGACATAAGCGCTTATGAATGGGGACTGGGTCATGGCACTGGTGCCTACAGCTAGTCAACATGTGCTGCAAGTCACAGGGGCTTAAATAAAACTGATTGTGTGAACCAGGACAATGCTAACAATCCAGGCAAACATTGTCCCAGGGTTGCATTTTAGCTGCTCCTGCACACAGCAGGAATAACTGGGCCGTATGGGGCAACATGTTCAATCACGCACAGGCAATACAAGGTATAAAAAATCCTAGGTTGTCATCTATCCAATAATTGTTGAAAGACTAAATTTACAGTGCTTCCCTATGATATCTAAAAGCCACATGCAATGCAATGGGACTTACCATATGTGTATGAACAAGACTCCAGCCTTGCTCTAGAATATATTTTATTAAATGTTTATTTTCATTTATAACATCTTAGCACTGATATTTAGCTCCAAGTGGGAACTGAGTACAATATGGAAAATGTACAACGACAAAGGAAAACAATCAGCTCATTTTCAGTTCTGCCTTTTGAGGATCTGTCAGTCTTTTAATGTAAAGGGAGGCCTTAAGAACTCTAATGTGTTCTCTAATTTTCTTGGCCAATGCATAGAAATAGTAGTTGGCATCTACTCTTTGTGAAGACATCCCCTTGTGACACGCAAAGCACAGGAGCATCACATATTCAATAGGTCTATTTTTCTCATAGTTAAATCTTTTTTTTCTGGGGTTACTTTTCCCTTTCAAAAGAGCAGTAACATTCTCAGAAGGAAATTAATTCTGTTAAAATGGACACTGCTGGCACTAAACACAACATGACAAACAAACTTTATAATAAAAACTATCAAGAGCATTTTAATTCTCATTCAATTGCCAGAAGTCCAAGGCCAAAACCAAAAGCTGATCCTACACTGCTGTTGAATTCTGACAGATTTATGATGGTTCCCAAGTGGAAATATCACAATTTTAAAGCCAAAATAGAGGATGAGAACTGATTAATGGCTTTGCCCTGGACATCTGGCAACAAAATCCTCTGTTTTCCATTAGAAGAGAAGGGGTGTGTGTGTGTGTGTGTGTGTGTGTGTGTTATTAAGGCTGTGCTTTTCTTCAAGCCACAGTTTTAACTGCAATGATTCCAGAAAATTGGAGTCATTTATCCTTCATTTTGTTTGTCTTTAATTCTGACTTAAAAAGAGAATGTTTCTAACTTCACACTTCACAGTTTGGTCTAAGTCAGAAGAGAAATACAGGCCAGGATCCAAAAAACTACTTTAGACAAACTCAAGGATTTGAGCATAACCAGTGGGAATTTGGATGTTTTTCACTTAGCAGACTTCCATGCCATATCACACTACTGCACTTGAAGACCCACATAATTTTTAAAGCAGTTTTCTATGTGTCATGATATTTGATAAAGTCCAAGGTTTCTTTGGGTGCATGGAACTCGACAGATATTTCTTAGAACTGGATCCAAAATTAACAGGTTTCCTACAAGCAGAACTCTATTTTGGAGAGCTGGCAAAGGACAGCTCTTCTGTATTGAAAATGTCCCATCCAAGTCTGGTTTAAAGGACTATGGAAAGAAGAGCACTACTGTGGTTTAAAAGATGCCCACCAGGTATTAGCAACTGAATGGCAGATTGAACAAGAATATAGGTCCCCAGATCATAGTTCTTCCCACTATGGTGGGGAATATTGTATTTCTGTTTAGCATAATTATTCTGAATTTGGTCCAATATGTATAAATCCATATGTACAAATATTATGCAAATTGCTTTTGTGCAAATCCTTTCAGTGAGGCATTTCCTCTATTTTGGAGATGCATAAGTGGCCACTTTAACTGGATTCCAGCCAAAGGCAGTCCCACAAACTGTATTGATTTCAGCTTCTTAAATCCCTTAAGGTTCTTTTGCTTAATTTGCTGGATCGTGTCCAGATGGGACCAAATTCATAGCTCATGTCAGTTCCTGTTCTATGGCTATTTACATTTTGTAGCTGCTCTATGGAAGTCTTTTAAAATTAATGGATGGCTTCTACTTCTGCCAAATTAGATGGAGTGGGAATGTGACTATTTTCTTTTTGATCCATAAAAGAAAATATGTGGGTAGTTTGAAAGAAGTAGACAGTCACTTCATACCTAAAGAAAATCTCCTGCCAGTTTTATCTTCAAAGTGGAAACTTCATGGAGTTTTAGAAAAATGTAAATATATGTACATGGAATTGTTTGGCTGAGTAATCAAAAGCCAGGAATAAACACCTGACAGCTTAACCTAAATGCAGTAGCAGAAGCTGGATACAGTCCAGAAATATTTCAATGAACCAACAGGGATCTTGACATTCGTGTCAATAGTATGCAGACTCTGTATGCGCTTTGTTTTGTTTGAGTGCTTTGTTTTTCTCATGAAATATCATGCAGAGTGATATAGTATATCGTGAATGTGTCTTAAGGCTGAAACCCATATGCTTTTACTCAGAAGACCCACTTAGTTCATTTCAACTTACTCTGATGAAAGAGAGGTGCACATGATTGCAGTTTTAGGTTGCAATCCAGTGCAACCTTCTTATCACCAATTCCTTTGAAGCAAGAGACACTTACTCCCAAATAAATTTACAGAGGAGGACAGGCTCTGAGCTCTGCCTAGAAACAGAATTCTTGTAGCCTTTACGTGAATGACCAATACATCTTTCCAATAATTTTATCAAAGCATTATCTTATCTTATTTTTATTCTGACATTTAATCTCTTAAAGAAAACAGAGGCTGTCATTTCAGTTTTTTCATATTTGATAAGATGTACAGTCAAACCACAATCACTGATATACGCATTTATCATTATTAATGTTGCTTTCCACACTCTCACCCTTTTGAAGTTAGCTTATTGCCTTTGTACGTTCAAAAGCTTTAGACCTTTTCAAACGTTCACTGAAATGCGTTGGGGAGAAACCAACTCATACCAGCCTGGCGTGCTGGTTACAGTGTTGGACTGCAGCTCAGGAGATCAGGGTTTAAGTCTCTGCTTAGCCTTGAAGCTCACTGACACTGGGCAAGGCACAGACGCTCAGCCTAAGCAAACTCACAGGGTTGTTCTTGTGGGGATAACAGGAGGACATTGTAAGCCACCATGAGTTCCTTGCATGAGGAAGAAAATCAGGATATAAATGCATTGCAACAATAATAATACCCAATCCCAACAGAGACAGCAAGAATTAAGCCTGCAAAACTGTTGTGTGTGTGTGTGTGGGGGGGGGGGGGTTATTCCTGGACTGCCCACCTCCCCTAATAGTCCAGCCTGCTTTAGGTGAATGCATGAAGGTTAGAAGCATGGAAAACAAGTGTGCTTCAGTTCTCCTGCTTTTGCATGTTGTGCTCAGTGAATACCTGAAAAGAGCTAAGGTGTTGAGATGCCTTTGTGGAAGAATAAGCTTTCTTTCTTGAGATAATTTATTAAGAGAATAGCAAAGCATCTATCTGGGCATCCATTTTGTAGCAAGTTGAACTCAATGAACCGCAACATTCTTTTGAACTTTTTGAATATTTGCAAATACTTCTGGCCTGCCTGGCACAAAAGCAACTGCCCTGAGCCACAGTGAACAACAACAAGGAGATTTGTGTCACCTGACACATATTGTGGCTTGAACCTATTTCATCCGATAATGGTCGTCTTAATTTCCCATCCCATTAAAATGAATGGGTTTTGATTGTCCTGGATTGTTTCTGCATTAGCTAAATGAAATGCACTTAAATTGTAATGCAGTGCCTGGGTTCACAGGACACAGGAAGTAATTGTGGATAACTACCCATGGTGAATAATCATGTCATGTGTACCTGGACCACTTCCTACAGGGTGGCTTGTTTGTGGGCTGATTATTTCTTCTGCTTTTGTTTCTTACCATTGAAAACCCATTAAGAAAGGAAGATGAAATTGGGACACTATGCCTTTTGATAGTTAGCACTAGGAGTGCTTTGTCCGGATGTAGCCTCAGTTCAAGTAAACATGGCCAGGTGATGGAATGCAGAGGTATGGTCCCTTTGTTTCCCAGCAGTTCTTGTGTATTGCAGGCTAGAATAATTCATTGCCGGTTGCTTCCAGAATGGTGGCAGGCAGAAATAAGTCATGGATATTCCCAATCCATCTTTAGATTACCTCAGTAGAAGCATGAGTCATGTTTGGGTTCTTCCCATGCACCTACAAGTTTCCACAAACATTAGAAAAACAACTTTCATACATGCTTCCAGTGCAGAAATATAGATCAAGGATAGCATGTTTATGCGCACAAGAAGAATGGTACTCCCACTCCACCAACACTGACAGAAGAAGATAAGGACACCCTAGGATTCTCACAGATGTTACACAATAGATTCTTGGAAGAAGTTTGTTATTGATGAAAAGTACATTCCTTCGGTTTCACAACTTTGTCCTCAATTCATTTTATTGCACCCCTGACACTTCAGTGATTACTTATGTGTTCATGTGGGCTCATGGATACATATAATAATTGATATTTTAAGAATAAATGTTTCATCATTGGAAGAACTAAAACAGCTTTCCTTTCTGTACTATTTGACTAATATTCTGTGGTTAGAATCATCTGTTTTTCCTGTCTTTACAACCAGATTTTCTTCAGTACTCTTTTAATATTTATACTGAGCTAGTCAAAGCCTATGTGTATATTTAATCACTTTTTTCTGAGAAATGTTTCAGGCTTTATTTTGAAATTGCTCATATTTTGGCCTAGGTTTTGGTTTAGATCATCCTATGGCTCCATCTGTTCCAGCAAATATGAGTTCAACTTGTTCAGTTCTTACTTGTGCTTGAATGAGACAGAAATACTGATTTGAAACTTACAGGGTAGTAGATACCTGCTTGAAACTGTCCAAGTTTAAAACTAAAATAATGTTTGATCTCACTGTAGAAACTCTAGCAATCTCCATAATATTACTTCCAAACCTAAGAAAATGCCTAACTTCTGTTTTCTAGCTGCATAAACTAGACTGGCATTCCACCCTTTCTTTTTCAATTAGTCAATATTATCCACTTGATGACACAGAATGTCACATGCTTTCAGGAATATTCCCATGCATTTATACATATGACATCAGATATGTTTATATGAATATTATTTGGAAATAATTGGAAAGTCAGTATTTTTCTGACTATGGTAAATCTACTAACACCCTCAGTTTTTGTTAGGCTGGTACTGTTGAAGGCCAGGTGTTGAATCAAACCTGGGTTGGCATCATTTGGCCCTCCAGAAGTCTTGGCCCACAACTCCCAATAGCCAGCAAAATCAATTGTGAGAAATTCTGGGAGTTCTAGGCCAAAATATAGGGAAGGTTACAAGTCCAACCATGGGCTAGATGGAGCCCTCATCTAGATTAGCAAAGTATTTCTCGTGTTCCTGTTATTCCCATTAGCAGCTCCATTCCTATAGTGGACTATGAAAAGCAACCCTAAAGGGAGCAAGAGTAAAATAGGAAACAGGTGTACAAATTCAAATGTAACACAGCTTTACAGAAAACAGAGCTATATTAAATCCCATGACTGAATTAGGGTCTGAGTAGTGGTAACAAATGAATATCTGCCCTTGTAAATGACACATTTTGTGTCATTAAAATTATGTTTAATGGCCTTGTAAACAGTTGCAGAATACTCTTGCCAGATATCAGTGTTAAATCTGGACAGTTGCCTTGTGTCGTTCGCCCGCCCACCACCATGAAGTTCTATGTGGTAAAAAGGACCGTGGCCGTTGAGTTCAAGCACTATCTGACAGATTTCAATCAGCTTCCTGAAACTTTAAATCAGCAGTGGTTTTACTGTAGCAAACCTGCACATGATAACTTGGACAACAGTGATAAAGCTGCTCTCTTTAATCTGTTAGTTATCCAAAGCACAAAGATTTGTAACTGCAGTTTTCAAATTGTGGTAAGAACAAGGGCAAACAGCAAGATGTGGGTTCCTGAAAAAAATATCCACTGTCTGTGAAACTGAATTTTACATGTGGCAATTGGAAAAAGGAAAAAATATGGATGCAATCCTGTGGGGATGCCCAAACTCTGCTGATCTCAGCAGAATATGGGCAAGCTAGGAAAGGCTGGAGGAGCATGGAAACATAGATTACCTCTGTGCTTCTCTCATCCTTGTCACCACAGCCCTTCAGACCAGGAAGAAAGGAGGCTGAGGTACTGGCTGGGAACACCATCCCTTGGCAATGCCAGTTTCCTCCCTTCCACCCTACACGCCTGAACACCCATTAATCCCCCTGTCCATGGTTGCTCTTACAGCCTCAGCAACGCAGCCAGAACGGTTCTTTGCACACCAGCTGTGGAAGGCAGGAGATCCAAGTGAGAGGCCCCAGCTGTGAAGTTGGAGGGATTTTCCAACATTGTGGCTGGGAAATCAAAAAATCCAGTGGTCATCTAAATTTTGTTTAATGGCCATAGAATTGTGCTGAAAGGAATTTAAGTGCAGTATTGGGCTCAGATTTTAAAAAGGGAAAGAAAATAAATCTTAAGGACAGAAAACACATGTCTTACTATTAGATTCTCTGGATTCTGCTTACACAACTATGTATGTGCTCATAGGTGTGAACATGCATACCACCAGACAGACTAAATTTCCATTTTTATGATTACAGTAGAGCACAAGCAACTTATTCATATGACTACTATACAAATGAAAGGTATATTCAGATTGACATCTCATGATGATGAAAGGTTTGCAGAGACCAGTTTTCATAATTTACTGTATGACTTTCCATCTCAGCACTTCCAGTGACACTAAGAGAAAGTAAAGGATGAGAGCATGGATGTGTCTGAAAATGGTTAAGGAGAAAAATAATTTCTGGTTACTTGTAAAAAACCCCTTCCGTCTGCCAAAAAGCAACTTAGCTCACATGTTGTGGGTCAAGTGCCTAGAGGCTGACACTGCCTACTTCTTCCCTGTAGCACGCCCTTGCTAAAGCTGCCGTCAAGGAACTAGCCACAGTGCACGGGACAAAATACACATATGGCTCAGGTGCTGCAACTATCTGTAAGTATGACCTTAATAAATCAAAGTATCCATAGCAGTCCTATACATAGCCCTGTAATATCACTCTAGTCCTAGAGTGATAAATGTGATAGAACTATAGTAGGTTAAGCTCTTGATGTTCAGCTATAGTTGCCTATGCACTCCTTCTCAAATTATTTTCCCTTGATTCAACCTTGCAGATCCAGCTGCTGGTGGCTCTGATGACTGGGCTTACAACCAAGGCATCAAATATTCCTTCACCTTTGAACTTCGTGACACCGGCCGATATGGCTTTGCTCTTCCAGAATCTCAGATCAAGCCCACCTGTGAGGAGACCATGGTTGCAATTAAATTAATTGCCAGCTATGTCCTTGAACATCTGTACTGAAGCAGCTTTCAAGGGTTATTAAAGAACCTTGATTGACAAATACTTCGTTTCACTCTCTTGCTCTCTCATTCTCTTTCCCTGCCGTGGGTTGTTTGTTTGTTGTTTTAGATATTTAAAGATCCTTAAAGTTTTCTTTCACATTTATGTCAACAGACCAAATCAGGCCTCTTCTCCCATTTCAGTACATCAGTATCACACAATGGTTTATCAACAAAGCAGGGGTTTAAAGCCAGAAGAAGGCAACATTAAGATCCTATATAGTACCTATTTTGGTCCCCAAAATGTCCTTTTCAGATGCATTGCAGAGCAGCAGCTCAATGCAAGCTAACAGACTTTTATTTAATAGAAGGACTTTTATTTTCCCTCTTGTCTCCCTTTCCCTTTTCCTTGGGAGTCCTTTCTTTTTAGATTGTAAACTTTCAGAGACTGCCTCATCTAAATCAATCCAGAATAAGGAGCAGGATAAAACACGTTTGCTTATAAAGTATATTTCATCCCACAATGCCACTCCTCAGCTAAAAAGTTTCTTGGAGTGGCTTACTTGTAATCTGAAAAATGAGGCAGTCCCTACCCACAGGCTTACAAATGAAAAATCATGCACAGAAAAAAAGGAGTGCCTAGTTTTGGTACTATAAACCTTGATTTGAGTGGATAAGAGGTAGCATTTGCTACTCCACTTCCCAACGTCCCTGAACTGCAGTCCATGTATTCAGATCAAGCATGGCATGCAATGGAAGGAGCATCCATTTGGGCATCACTTTCAGCGAGGATGAATTTGTGCATGAAAAGGGGACTTTTGAAGGGACCCAACTAATCTGTGGAAGATCCTCCCAAATGTGCTCTTTTTATGCCTCTTCTTTCATTGTTTTCTGCCTCATGAAGCCAGGGTGGGCCCAAGGACATCTCCCATCCCCATTTTGTTGCACAAAATGGCAGCTACATTTTTAGCAGATGCCATAAGATGGCATCCTCACCTGGAGGGCAGCAGGCTAGCTTAGCAGGTGCAAGAGGGAACATATAGCATACATACAGTGGTAGGACCAGTTGTGCTCACAACAAATACTTTGGTTCCATTTTTGTTCTTTCCCTATCAGACTTCTTCCTCCACACAATCTGGTCCTAGCTCATCAAATACAGGTCCTAGATCCTGTATTTTTCTGAGTCTCCTTGATCATGTTACTTTAAATAATATTAACCATTTCCCTCACATGCTGACTTCCACAGTCAAGGAATTTTGATGTAGGGGATCATTAAAATTCGATTTCCCCCACCAGTATTCTGAAGACTACAAAGAGATGTCCAACATCTCCTTTTGTGAACATTTTGAAGCCTGTGTTTTAAGGCGTTGAACACATTGCTGCTAAGTATCTGCAACTGGTTTTTTTCTGTATGAATATGTGTTTTGAATTTTTAATAGCTCATGGAACAGTGTCATTAAAGGCTGATATCACTGTTTTATGGGCTATGAAGAATTCTGAGACACAAACTGAAACAAAATGGGGTGAAAGTTGCAAATGTATAGCAAAGCTTTGTTCCAGCTCTTTAAAATCCTGTATTCGTGTCTTAAATGAGCAAGAAATAACTCACTCCACCAGATGGCAGCCAAGCAACTTTTGACTGCAATTCACAACTTTTGTTTTTGTTTGTTTTTGTTTTTTTGAGGATACCTACAAGAGCTTTCCCCTTTCCCAGAGCTGGAATTCTAAGCCAAGAATTAGGTAGCGTCACACAGATGATATGAGGCACTTAACACATTACATCAAATTCTGGATCATCATGGACAATCCTTCAGAATTAAGAAAACAGGCCAAGATATGAGCTTAACAAGCATGCAACCAAAACACAAAACAAGAACAAAGCAGTGAATCTGAACATCCACTGTACTCTAGTGCTGACTGTGTGTGTGTAATCCTTTGATACAATTTAAAACACATTTGAAAGTTGATTTTATAAATATTTGTATTATTTTCTGTTACTCTAACACAAGTCAATGTTTAGAGAATAAGATCCTGAATTAACAGTGATCAGGCAGGCTGGGTTCTCCCTTTCAAATAACTAGGTGAGTCAAGCCTACCCACCAGATTCCCAGCACTTCTCCAAGTACCGAGAAAGAAGTATACAGAGATATGCCACAGCAGAGTTTTGTTTTCTTTGCTTTATAGAAAGCATTAAAGACTCATGGTGACCGATCACAACAAAATAATGAAAACACAAACAAAACATCTGGGGACAAATGAATTCCTATATCAAATAGTACAACTACTAGTCCTGCATCAGATTCCCAAGAAAGGCTGAGCAACTGCATCTAAAGATATCCTTCTTTTAAGAAACTCAATCTAAAGTTTAGATTCTAAACACTCAGCTGCCTGCTCTGTTTAAACTCAAGCCACTAAACCCCTAATTATTTAATTAGGTGTGGAAAGGTGTGGATTATTGTGGAACTATGGATTGTTGTTGAAATGTGCATTATTAAGTTGTCTCTGCTCAGCTGCAAGAGCCAACCACCATTTGTTAATCACGAACAACCCATGAGAAGAGGTTATAAAAGCTCTTTGTTGTTGGATTGTGAACTGTACATTGATCATGGGTAAGAAACCATGGGTTGTTAGCACAGCTAGGTGCAGACAACATGATAACCCATACCCTGGAGTATGGATTATTGTGCTGTTTGAACCCTGCCTCTGATTCTCTCGGTCCTTCCTCCCCTGCCACTTGGAACTCTGGTGTATATTCTATTCCAAAGTCTTGAGCAATCAAGCAATCAAGGAACATTCAGCCCTGTTATCAATTCCCTGATCACCCACTTATTTTCAGACAAAATCAAAATCATAGCAATAGTCATACTTTATAAACTTCCCAGAGATCTCCATGGACTATGGGCTTGTATAAAAATGCAATTAATAAATAAAAAGTCCATTCACAAAAAGAAAGAGAACCACGCTTGTAACAAAAGTGGGTGTACCGGGACAATATCTAGAAATGCCCTTTATCTTTGGCCTGAAAATAAAGGTTTAGATTTTAACCTCCACAAGTGGAATTTCATATAGACTGGATCATTCCTGCCTTTTCCTTCTGCTGTAGCTATCTTAAGTTTACCCTTCAAAATCCTGATGTTGCTGCAGCCTAAGAACATAGGAAGAACTGTGCAGAAGCAACCAAAAAGCCTATCTAGTCCTCTGGAAGCCAAGACTTTTACAGCATTCTTCTGCTTATGTTCCCTAGCAACTGGCCTACAGGGACATACTGGACTCAGGTGTGCCAGAATGGCAAGGGACATGTATGGTATAAGAGACTGCAGAAGAAGGGAAGAAGAACTGAAAACCAGAGGATTCCACTTGTACTGGAACTGCATTGGGTCACAGCCCATGTATTTCTGAATTGGCCTAAGGCAAATTGTATGCAACTGTACAAATGCCCTGTCAAGTCCCTTGAGATCCATGATCTCATCTAGATTTCCTGGACTGCTGGTCATTCCATCCTTTGACCAGGCTTATCTTTTCCAGATGTTCCTGAGATGTGAAATTTGAATGTTAGATATGATATTTAAAGTAAAGATACATGGAACTCAGAATCAAAACAACTAAGTAGATGGCAGGGAGAATATATGAATAATTGAGGGTGATGATGATAAAAGCAGCTGCACAAACTCCTGGCTTTACAGTGTTTCTGAGTATGATTGCATCAGCCTTCCCCAACCTGTTATCCTCCAGTATTTTTGGACTTCAACTCCCATCAGCTCCAGGCATGGTCAAGACTTGGGGCTGTAGTTCAGAATATTTGGAAGGCACCAAGTTGGAAGGCATGAGGAGATTCCAAGGGGATCTGTTGGCGACATGTAGGTATGTGAGGGGGTGTCACACAGAGGTGGGTAGAGAGCTGTTCTCCCCTGCAGAGGATGGCAGAATGCTCTCCAATGGAGCAAAGCTCAGGGAGCCAAGGTTCACTCTGGATGCCAGGAAGTACTTCCTGACAGTTAGGACCCCAAGGGTATGGAATGGGCTTCCACAGGAGGTGGTTGGGGCCCCATCAGGGAGGGTGTTCAAGGATAGGCTAGACATGCACAAAGTAGACATGTCGTGAGTGGAGCCGGCTGGAGCCGGGGGTCAGACTAGATGGTCTGGGGAGCCCTTCTGACTCAGCCTTTTTCTATGTTTCTAAGTTGGTTTGACTTGAGATTGAACCAGTGGTGGTGGTAAATTTAGAAATTCGTTAAGAACTGCAGCACACTTTCCGAATGGTACCACCAAAATTCATCCATCCATGCCTTTCAGGTTTGTAATGGCCTTTCAGTGAGCAATTTCCCAAAACCTGAAACAGTTAGCAAGGCACACCAGGAAGCAGTGACATGTGGTAGCAGGACGAGGAACCTGATGACGCTGTGCAAATGGCTGTAGTAAGAAAGCCAAAACAGAACACTGCCCTACTGTGATCCCCCCAACCCCAAATGAGGAAGTCATTCCCACTATTGTATATAGAGCCCAGCCACAAGGAAAGACAGCAAGGGTCAGGAGAAAGTCCTACAGGAAGGCTCCTCCTCCCTCAGCCATCACCACACCAGCAGCCATTCCAGCAGGCTGTCCAGATGGAGATAAGCAGGTCAGCAGGACCATGAATGTTAGCACTGGTCCGAGGTAGCATCACACTGATTTTGAAATGAGGGCACCAACTCCATAATGATTTCTATCCATGTCAGTCATGCCTGTTCACTGAGGCAATAGTTATTATAGGCTAATGCCTATGATTTTTTGATAAAATGCTTGTTTGAAGTCACAGTTTTATGCATTTAGAAAGCATAGGGCCAGCCCTACCCTTGGGGCAGTAGGGAGCAGTGTCCAATGGTCATTACTGCAGTAAGATCCGATGGACAGTCCAGTCTGATTGCCCACATGGAATGGGGTGCAGCCCCATCTAGTTTTTTATTTATTTTATTTATTTTTGGATTTATATCCTGCCTTTTTCCTAGAAAGGGCTCAAGGCAGCTTACATCTCCTCCTCCATCTTATCCCCACAACAACAACCCTGTGAGGTAGGTTGGGCTGAGAGTCTGTGACTGGCCCAAAGTCACCCAGTTGGCTCCATGGCTGAGCGGGGACTCGAACCCAGGTCGTCAGAGTCCCAGTCCCATGCTCTTGACCACTATACCACACTGGCTCTCAATGCCTTGAGCTGGCTCTTTTTCTAACCCATGAGAAAATCACACTGGATTCACTGGAAATAGTTCAGATTATTCAGAAACGCATGTGTTGAAATACCCTAGGGACCTGTAATCTTTCACATGACATTCTAGCAAGGGCATCCTTCAGTTGTCTGCACCCCTTCAGGTTTCTCTTTCCTTTTTCTGTTACTGATCAGATATTGCAATGCAATTTCTCTGAAAACTAAAATTCTAATAAATAAAGAGCTAAAAAGACAAGCGAACATAAAGATGCCATCCAATGATAACAACAGAGGAAGTCATCTGATTGTTCACAGCACTGTGAAAAGGGGATATATATGGGGCAGGGATCAGGGTTTGCAGCTAAAGCAGAATCATGAAGTCCTTTATTTTACTTTTAGGGCTCTTTGTGGGGCCCCAGTTTGTTATCCTCACTCGTCGTTTTGACAGGTAGAAGTTCCTCTGTGTGGTAAATCTCAGAAAGGAAACATTGCCACAATCCCTCTTTTTGTACTCACTGGCTACAACTTTAGACTATTAGAGAGCCCCCCCCCCCCTGGCAGAATCTTATATAAGCATCACAAAAATCAAAGGGGCCTGTGCAATCACACAGCTCAAAGTCCCCAGCCTCAAAACAACTGTAGATCCAGGGGAGGGAAAAGGAAAGTGTGTGACTTAGTGTAATGATATGATGCGCCTGTTTAACTATATTTCACTTGTATTGAAGTGATAAAGTGTTTCGGATGAGACCGCAGAATGAAGAACAAGTGACCTTCCTAAAGGATCTGGCCTCTTCAGTACAGGTGAGAACTTTTGTCCATGTCTACTTATTATATCTGTCATGTTGATATTTCCCTATTGCACAGGTTTTACAATGGCTTTTCATTTCTAATATGCAAGTATTGTGCAGAAACAAATAAAGAGATGTCCTTTGTGGTTTGGCTTACAATTGTTTTCTCATGTGTGTTGATGTGCAAAGAAATATATTAGAGCAGAAACAAATACTCAGAATTCACCAACTCTTTTTAATGCATGTTTTACATGGTGAAATTATAACAGAGTTCAAAATATGATTGCAATTGTTCATTAGCATCTCCTACTTTGGACAATGGGTATCAAATGTGAAATCTTATAACTGTACATTTATAAGATATTAAATAGAATTATACATCAGCTGTCCAGCATGTTCATCCACCTTGCAAATAAGCTGCAGAGTGTGATTATAACCACTGGCGCCATGTTTCTTAGTATAGTCATTCATGTTTTGCTTCTTGATGCATAGACAGGCATAGAAGCAACTGACATATATTACAACTGTAGTTAGAGAATCTGTTTCCAATGTGTTAGATTAAATGCACTAATTCTAAAAAAAAATTCTACCCAGCCTGACTTCTGGCATCCTCCTTCAGTACATCATATTGCTGTTCAAACAGATGTGGATTTCCGTGTCAGTGCAGAGCAAGCTAACTATGTCCAGATGATGCTGGAGCAGAACAAGATGAAACATGAGTATGTGCTTTTAATCCAATTTCAGGAGTGTTGTAGATTATGTGTGCAATAATGTTGTGAGAAAATACTATCCATTTAATTAAAGGTGTGAATAATTCCATATAAATATGAGATTCTTTAGGAGAGAGATTCCTTTCCTGTAAATTAAGAACAGTTTTAAATTGAGATAAATGACAAAGCATGATAATGATAAATGATGAAGCATTTATTGAAAGTACTGTGCATGTTCCATTTCAGCTTCTTACAGGAACATATAACATATGTACATTATATGTACATTTGCACAGCTATCTGGGATTAAGCCCCATCAAAATCAATCATACTTACTTTTGGGTAAACATGAATAAACTTACAGAGTAAATCCATTTGAAATCCAGTTTTCATTTGCTTGCTATAGTTGTCCTAGGGATGCTTAATAAATTTCTACTTAGCTGTTTTATTGTATATTTTAATTATTTTTACCTAATGCCCAATGTTGAGCTTTATCCTTTGTAGTTTTTAGTAACATACAGATCTTAGATGCCTTGCTTTTTAACCCATGCTCCCTTTTTACTTTTTCAAGTATGTTATACAGTTCTGTGAATACATTATCTCGATCTTTCAACTTTTCGGTTGTCTGTTGGGTTTTACAAAATTTAAAACTGGATGAAATCCAGAGACCCAGAAGTCAGTGAGAGTTCTGCCACTGATTTTTTCTAAACATTTTGCATACCCAGTGGGTGCAAAACAATGGAAGCAGCAAAACTGAATATAAATCTATAGCATGAATGGAATACTGGTTACACAAAAGACCACTGGTTTTGCCCAAGTTTCAGAAGTATAAGGTACAGTGGTACCTTGGCTCACAAACTTAATCCATTCCAGGACTCTGGTCATGACACAAATTGGTTGTGAACCAAGTCAAATTTCCCCATAAGGTTCAATGTAAATAAGGTTAATCCATTCTTTAACTATTTTTTTTAAATCACAAAAATTTGAAGGAGTGCTCGGAGAGGTTTGGCAGGTGCGCTGGGGGAGGCAGATGTGATCATGGGCATGCTGGGGGGAGGTGGGTGCACTGGAGGGGGAAGGCAGGCGTGATTGTAGATGCGCTCGGGGGGAGGCAAGTGCATTTGCAAGCATGCTGGAGGGGAGGTGGGCACAATCACCACCCGAAGCGCAGTTCGTGGCCTGAGGCAAAATTTTTCAGAAATTTCTGTTCTCGACCCAATTTGGTCGTGAACTGAGGCGTTCATGAGCCGAGCTACCACTGTACTGCTGGACAGGAGCCAAACAGAAATCCCCCAGTACAGATTTACATGGGAATTGACGGGTAACATCCTTGTTTCTGTAGGTTCTGTTATTATCTATAGTCCATAAATTATCTAGATTTATTTCTCGGGGTATTATTTTGTTGGTTAATAAGTTAGTTCTATTGACTCTGTAGTATGAATTATATCAGCAAAGAATGAAAGGGCCCTGGTCCATTTGGGTTGTAGTCTTTCTTACTTATAGTTATTTACCTACATTTCAGTAGTGGGTGGGAATAACAGAAGAGAAGACAAGGAGATGAATGTGAGAAAATATATTTACATGTATATATGTTGTGCATGTACCTTCATAGTAGCCTTAGAAATGCTGAGCTGGGCTGACATGGTTAGGACATTTTGGAGGGCTGTCATTCAGAGGGTAGCCATAAGTCAGGGGGAGCTTGACAGCACCTAACAAGAAGAATGACATATCTGCATGTAATTAGGATTAGGACTAAGGGGATAAAGCAAAGGAATGAAAGAATAAAAGCATCTTTGAAAAAGCAAGACTGTGTGTACTGATGCTCTTTTTGTGCCACAGAATCATAGTCCATAATCTACAAGAAGAGATTGAAAACCAGTTGGATGGGGGGAAACATTTCCGTGAGAAGTACAGATACACGAGATACAATGAGTGGGAAAAGGTACCCTATAATGACTCATATCATATTTCATCCTTTTACTAGTTTAATGATAAATACGTCAGTGTCTCATCATTACACTCTCCTTTTAGATTGCTTCATGGACTGAAAAAATGGCTACAAATTACCCCAAGTTGGTGTCCCGGATTCAGATTGGAAAGACCTATGAAGAGCGTCCCATGTACCTTCTTAAGGTATGAGTCTTGATATAACTGCTATTAATAATTGCACATGAAGAATTATGAATGAGATACAATGAGAAAGCAGCCTACGAATCAGTCTTGCTGTCATGTTATGCTGATCTAGACTTAAGAACAATGGGAGAAAACTTCTAGAGAAGTTATTTATGCTTTCTAAGGGTAGGAAATAGTTGCTTTATAATGTCTATGGGCAATCTAGGGATATTCTTATGGTGGGTCTTTCCCACTTTACAGTGGGCCATCCTTTGTTGACATCCTCAGTCTGAAGAACTGCCCATCCCAATTTCAGTTTAAAGATAAAGAACTTTCAGGGGTGAAATCAGGTGCCTTGAAGATGTGCATCTGCATAAATGCCTGGACAGCAGACTAAGCAGACACAGAAAACAGCTGGCTGCAGTCTTTTCTGTATAGTGAGATATATTGAACTTCTCATTAAATCATTCTGTTTTCCTCAATCTTTCTAAATTTGCCCTCTTAAGTTGAAGCTAGTATATGAAAATTTTATACAAATATTTTACTCTTTATATTGTGATGTACTCCCTATTTGGAGGCAACATGTTATTGATTTAACTGGCATGGCCTCCAAACCTTGATAACTTCAAAGGGCCATATGGTATGATATTTCTAGGGGGGCTCCACTGAAACAAAGTAACAGATTACAGATTGTTAGTGTGCATGGAGAATAATCATAAAGAATGTCTGACATAATATTCCCTTCTAACAGGTTGGGAAGGAGAGTGGCAAAAAGAAAGTCATCTTTATGGACTGTGGTATTCATGCACGGGAGTGGATCAGTTCAGCCTTCTGCCAATGGTTTGTAATGCAGGTCAGTTAACTGTAACTTTATTCATTTGTGCAACTGTTGATGAAAAGTGAACCCAAGAGCTCACTCAACCAGTCTTAAATACTTATTACATTATATTCTTAGTGTTGCACCATAAGTTCTCATGTGCCTATTTTTCTGTGAAAGTAGAATTTTAAGGGGGTAAAACATTCATACACACTCATACATGCACAATGGCCCAATTTACAAGATCAAGCCACTTCTTTAAAAATAAATCAGCATAGTTAGTCGTAAACAAGGCATTATGCTGGCTCATGTGCTTCAGTTGCTCCCATTGCCAGTGGTGCTGGCTAAGCAACCTGGATAACAGGTGGGTTTGCATGTCGCACCAACCCATGTTGCCTATACACCAAAGCGGAATGGTTGTTACAAGAACAGCTCACAGTGGATCCAACAGATGACTATGATTACTATGGATTGCCAACCCCGTCTTTCCCCTTCAGGCCCCTGCCTTCAAAGGAATTTGAAGCTCAAGCCACTCCCCCTACTATTCTGGTTCACTGAGGATTTTTTTTCTCTTTTTATTACAGCAAGGTAATCTCAGAGAACTTGCTCAACCTCCAAATATCTCAAGAGGTTTAGGATCCTTTGGTGGGGTCTAACACACTCTGCCAGACGGGAACACACCCTAGTCTCGCATTTACAGACACACAGGAGCTGTCAACACTCCAGGGTCCCATGTTTCATTTAAAGGGTGCTTTTTGTATTTGTTTTTTTCTTAAGGGCTCCATATGATTTTTCCCCACAGGACTATAAGCAGGCATGAATGCTTGCTGCCTATCATGGGCTACTGTGTCATGAGAACACTCTCTCCCTAAGGGATTGTTTGGCACAATGTTCAAGCCCAGAACTCCAGTTTATCTCTCCTCTGACAAGCCAAAGTTGAAACTGAGCATTAAACTCTGTGTCCCATGTAACCTACATTGAAATAGATGAACTAGATAAATGTTTGATTCCGACTCTGGCTTGTCAAGCTAAAATTCTTGGTTTGAACACCATGCTAAACAACCCATGGAGAGATTGTCCCTGGGTTGTTTAACTCCTGTTGGCAACAGGAGCAATTGAACTACATAAACTAGCATTTTTTTCTCATTCATGACAGCCCATTTTTTAAAAATCTGAATAGTCATTACACATGGACTACACCAATAGATACTCACAGCAGTTCCCATGGTCTCTGAAGTGTAAGTTCTGTGTACAGTTTCAGATCAACACATAGAACTCAGAGGACAACACCAGCCAATGCAATCCTGCTTTCTCACTTTTCACATGTTCATTGTACATTGTGATCAGTGCTGGAGGTTTCTTTTTAGCTGTTTCTTTGACATGCTAAAATGTACTGAAGCCCCCCTCCCCCCAAAAAGATTAGTTGCTAGCGATTTGATTGCACTTCTTTATATTCAGATAATAAAGGCTTCTCTCAAATAAATTAAGTTTTAGAGGACTGCACAACTACATTTTAGTCTAAAATACATACTTTGTATACTCCTCTTCCACACCAGCAGAATAGTAGACCTGCCATGATTATTCATAATTCCAAGGCCCTTATACAAACCAAATTGAAGACAAAAGTCTCTCATTTTTTTTAAAGGATGCAGCTCACATCCTTTTTTTTTCAAATGTTAATACTGATCATCAAAATATCAGGATTAAATGGGCCAGAAAATTAACCAAATTGAACATGGTTTTTTTGTAAAAATATGTTAGTGTTAGACCAGATTACAGGCTCTCTGATTCTGAGTCTATATTGCTTTGGCCTAGATCTCTAAAGGAATGCCTTTTGCCATACCAATCCTTAAATAACCTTCTGAGGCCCATATGCACTGCATCAGGTGGTGACCAGAGATAAGACATTCTTGGCTGTGGGACCACATCTGTAGAATTCATGCCCCCAAAAAGTCTGCCTGTTGCCAATTTTGCTGTCGTTTAGGCACCAGGAGATTTATTCTACCAGGTGTTTTAGTCAGGTGGGCTTGACTCTGAAGTATTTTAATAGTCTCTTCAGCTTTTTCATATTTTAATTATTGGATTTAATTTACAGCTGTTGCTGTTATTACAGTCTTATCCTGCATTTTTCCTTTTGCAAGGAATCCTGGATGGCTTATACAGTTCTCCTCTTCCTCTCATATAATCCTTGCAGCAACAACCCTGTGAGATAGGTTAGCAGGAGAGTCACTAAGTGAGCTTCATGACTGAATGGAACCTAGACCAAACCCAATACACTGCACCACAACTATCCTGAGAACTTGGGATTAAAGGCGATATTAAAATTATTGTAAACCACCCAGAAATCTTTGGACAAAGGACAGTAATAACATCTCCTTTACAAGTTGCATTTTAACACTTCAAAACCCACATCTAGTTGTGAATTAAATTGTACACAATGTGTTTGTCTTTTACAGGCTGTCAGAACATATGGAAATGACAAGGTCATGACAAAACTGTTGGATAATTTGAACTTCTATGTGGTTCCTGTGTTGAATATTGATGGCTACATCTGGACATGGACTCAAGTACAGTCCACATTTCTTTTGTCTCTAGTAAAAGCTACTCTTTTTCCATAAAGAATTAAGGTGTCTCCAGAAAGTCTCTCATGGGGAATGGCAGGTGTAGTAGAACATAACCTTTACAGAATGACTAGTCATAGGGAAATGCAAATATGTGTCTCCAGTATGCTTCAAAAGATCTTTCAGTTACTACATGGAAACTGTCACAGAACAAGTGACTATATTTGTCCAATGTCCCAGTTTTGATGTAGGATCTACCACCATACAGTGGTGTGGACGCATTCCTATTTTCCCAATATCTGTACCATTCTGCCTTCCCTCCACCTCAAGTCTATGCTTTCATTCCTCTAGGCAATCATCTGTGCTACAATTATTGTAAGACAGGAAGAAAGAGGGAAAAAGTGCTATCTATTGTCAAGGGAATGATTTTTATTTTCACTTGTTTGCTACATTAACGTTCTGCCATAGTCCTCCAAGAAGCCCAAGATAGCACACCTGGTCCTCCTCCCCATTTTATCCTCTTGTGAGGTAGGTTGGGCTGATAGTCAAAGAGCAGCCCAGTGTCACACATGGGCTTCAAAACTGAGTGGGGACTCACAACCAAGTCTCCCAAGTCCCGGTTCAGTGTGTGAACCACGACACCATACCGGTTGCAGTAGTTAGGCGAACACAACATGCTCCCCCAAGGCCTTGCCTCCATGGTCTCATTGAGCAAGCTCCTGTGTGGCTGAAATCTGTAAGAGAAAATCATCTATTCCTGTAGGAGCTGGACACTTGCATATATTAAAAAAACCCAGTCAGATGCAGTATTTGAACAAAAGCAAATTAGTCTATTGTGACATGAACTTTTGCTGGCTTCATCCTCCAGGGTTGGCAAGAAACTTCATTCTGCAATAACTCAGTCCATAAAAATGCTTGTTAACCTGACATAAATGTCAGCACAACCTTGAGCCAATCAAATGGCAGTGCTGGGGCAATAGAACTGTACCTGTCCTGGACAACCTCGCCTCCCCAAAAATGCAATGTGTTTGCAATTCATGCGCTCATAGTGCCAATTCATGTAGGTCCAATAATCAACAATCATTACATGGCAAAATCATAGGATGAGAACCAAAGGTTATAAGGGCTATGTGCAAATATGCCACATGCCTATTATGACAGGGGAAGGTAAAATAGGCCCATGGGCAGGACATGTGAAAGTAAACTGGAGCATAGTGTATGAAAAGATACTTTCCATCCCCAGTATACATTAGGAATTAATATGAAGCAAAAATAGATAAGACTGGAAGATAACAGATCCCACTGGTATTTGTCCTGCAGGATCGCATGTGGAGAAAAAATCGTGACAATAAAACCAACAGTGATTGTATTGGCACTGATCTGAACAGGAATTTCAATGCTTCTTGGGGTGGTACGTATTATATGCCTAGTAGCAACTGAAACAAAGATATAGCCTATGGCAGGAGTGCTGAACCCTTTACACCCAAGGGCAGAAAGCAATTTCAGGGAAGGCCTTCTTGGGTGCTGGGTGGAGATCATAGCAAAAAGGGCAGGACTAAGGTATAAAAATGCCACCATATTTTAGCCTAAAGAGCCTTAGAAGAGCTCTCCAGCTTTTCCCATGATTCCTTCCCTGCTTTTAGTGGCATGGAAAGAATCATGCTTAAGTTGGGAAATCCCCAAACAAGCAGCAATCAGGGAAAGGAGAGGGATATGATGAGGATCACAGATCTGAGATTTAAAATTCTGGTCTACCAAGGAGTTCTAAACAACTCATGTTACATCCAGGTCTACTGTTTTTTTCCAAAAAACATAGGCGCAATGCTAAATAATTGATTCTAAATGGTGGCACAATTAAAAGTCAGGTCATCAAAGAAAAGGGAGGAAAGGGGTTTGAAAATTACTGCAAAAGTCAGATCAGGTGGATTTGCACTGCACATCCAACCTCCAGGGCAGGCCCCCAAAACATTTCATTATCACTCTAAGTAAAAGGCCAGAGAGTGACCCCACACAATTGCAAATATAAACATTTTCCCTGCTTATCCTGGATTCATAGTAATCATTGCATGAAAAACAACTTGTGGGAACCCATTCGACATCCCAGAGTGGGCAAGGAATACGTTTTTTTTTTACCGAAACATTACATCTGACATATTTTCTTTTCTTTCTTTTAGTTGAAGCTGAATATGACTTACACGAACCTTGTGAAGAAATATACTGTGGAGCTTCTGCAGAATCTGAGCCAGAAACAAAAGCAGTGGCGAACTTCATTCGTGACCATCTTGCCTCCATCAAAGGATACATAAGCTTCCATTCCTACTCTCAGTTGTTGCTGTTTCCTTATGGATATACAAACGCAAAAGTACCAAATCATGAGGAACTGGTAAGGAGGAAAAGATCTGTGTTGTTCTGTCTACCGCAGGGGTGGGCAACACACACCCTATGGGACACATGCAATAATCCTGACCATTTTTGAGGCTCCCTTTCCCCAGTATCACCATATGACAGAAATCTGGTAATGAATAAGGAGAGAAAAAGTCCCTCATAAAAGCAAAATTGGAGATAGATCACTGGGTTTTGTTGGAGTAGTGGTGGCAGCAACAAAAAGGGAAACAGAGTCTTCTTATTGTTCCTGCTTCAGCTCCAAAATTTGGCAGTGAATCAAAATTTTTCTTTTTGAATGGGGCTTTTTCCTCTGTCTCTGGACCACCAAATTTCAGTAGTGCACCAGCGGTTAGTCAAGTAGAAGCAGAGGCATGGCCTTTCCTAAGGTCCAAAAAGCATTGAGCCCTACCAACCCATGAAAGTTGTGCACCCTGGCCTAGAAGAAGAAATCTTAGGTTGAGTGCAGGGAGTCCCTTCCTTCACTGATGGCCCTTTGATCCAGCAGTAGCTCCCACCTGTACATCTGAAAATCTGCTCGAAAGGGTTGGGACACCTTTGAGAACAGGGTGGGAAGCAACATAGTGGGTTGCAAGGGAGATCCATAATAAGCACCTCTCTACTTCCATTTCCTGGAGCTTCTGTTGAATGGAAGGCTGTTCTGAAAACAGTGGGGGTGCTGATCATAAATGGAATATCATAATTAGATCTAATGCATTTCAATGGCTAATTAGCATGAATCAAACAAAATATGTTATTCCTCATTATTACGTTTTTAATTTACAAAGGGTAAACAACAATATTTTTGTACTTGTAGAATAGTGGAAGATCTTCCTTAAGAAAAAAAAAAAAACAACAGCAAGAATGCTAGACATCTTTCCTGTATTATATGCATAGTGTTGATGAACTAAATGTAATTCTGAAGTAAACCAGAAGTGATCCAAATTCTGATTTACTGATTAGAAATGTTGGATTGAGAAAAAGCTGTTGTCGCTTTCCTGGAACATTTTCTATTATGTTTCAATTTCTATATGGCTTACGAGTGTTATCTAAAAGAAATGCAAGCTTTCTATGAAGCTTCTTGTTCTCATGCCCCTCCCTACTACCATCGGCAGAAAAGTTTTATATACTCTGAAAACTGTATCCTCAGCAGCAATATCCAAGACCAGGAACAGTTTCCTCAAAAAACACATGGAGACTAAGCATTGCAGTCTCAAGTTATTGCACAAAAGCAAATATGGCAGGGTTCTACGAAGAGGAAACAGAACAATATGGCATGGCTACTGTGCAAAAGAGCAATATTGGGATTGACAGGGAAGCAAAAGGTAACCACTGTCAAAGTTTGAATGCTAATACCCAAGCCTGATTTCATCATACATCCTCTGCACATTTATACCCAAGAGTTCAGCCTCTCTGGGACTTAGTTGCAGCCCGTGTTCTGTTCAGCTGAAACACAGGTCAACCTAACCCAGCTACTGCAGTTTTCACAAGGGTACATATGTCTTTAATGAGAACATAGGAAAAGGGATGTATGACCCAATGTTGTCAGAGAGGTTTTATCTTTCTTTCAAATGTCATAGCAGTTCTTAGTAGAGATTTTGTTTCCTAGAGCTAATTTGACCCCTGCCAACATCATACAGGAAAGAATTCTGTGTAGGGGAAAAAAACCATTCCTAATTTTGTAGATGTTTTTAATTAAAATGTAGATATACCAATGCTGCCCTCTTGTGTCTTAACAGTACAGAGGGAGATAACAGAACCTAAGATGTTATTGCTGTTGTTGCTGTTATTCTGCAATTGCATCATTTTCTTACAAAACTGTTGTACTTTAAAATTTGAAACGTCTCAGTGCTTCCCAGCACCATCCTTCAGTTTGTGCCCTTAAGTAACATATACAGCAGGGGTAGTCAATGTACTGCCTTTCAATCGTTTTCAACAGCATGCCCCATAATCCCTAAGCAGTGGCCATGTTGGCTGAGGCTTACCTACTCCAGGGGCAGAAGATGGGTTGACAGAAACTAATGCCAGATGCAGGTTTTCAGGGGTCCTTGGACAAAGTGTTCTCCCACTTGCTTACATCCCCATCTTGGCCCAGCTCACACCACTTCCCATATGGAAAAGACCGGGCATGGGAAGACTGCTGCTCCTTCTCTCACTCCTCCTATGGTTTGCTCACTGTAAGAGGTCAGGTAAACCAGAAGAGGCAGCAAAGAGGAGAAGCAGGTCCAGGAGTCAGCTCCTGCATTGGCAATGGAGCCCAAACTGTGGTGTGGGCCTAGTGGCTGCCTAGAGGCCAACCCCTGGGGAAAAGTATTCTAAAAGCCTTTGCTTCGGCTTCCCAACAAAGTGCATTTTAAGACAAACTGCATACATGCTTTTAAATAGGATGCATTTTGGCACCCATCCTGCTTTTCACATTTTAAATAGGATGGTTTTCTTTATAGGAACAATTCTGAGTAGTTCTCATATCCACTACAGCCAGATGCCCACAAGAATCATTTTCAATTCACGTAGTCTGATAAGAGACTATGAAAGTATGGAAATTCCAAACTAAGAAATGACTTCCTTGCATAGCCTGAGGCACTGAGATACCCCAGTGATGATCAGAAGCTTACATTCTAAACCAGAACAGAACAGAATGACAGGAATAACCATATTGTACAATTCTGGCCCTTAACATGGGACGACTTTGGATTGGCCCACAGAGTTCACATATGACAGAAAACAGAAGGTACAGTGGGGGAGTTGGGACACACGATTGTTTGCCTTTAAGAACCAAAATGCCCTATTGGCCACAACCTATAAAAAGGGAAACAATCAAATCAGACAAGCCTCAAAATGCTTAACAAAACCATCTGCTCTCTCTTGTGGGGATAAAACATAACCTCCTTGTGAAGGTAGCAAACAACAGTCAGAAATGTGTCAATAGCCAACTTACAAAAGAGTATGATTAATATAGCTAATAGAATAGAGTGAAAGCATAATAACTGGACCCCATCCAAAATCACTGGAAATAGCAGCAACTTGCAATGGTCATCAATGACTTGCAAAACAGACTAGCTAATTTGCTCAGGTTCTAGAGTTAACCTATTTCCATTCTCTACATTGCAAAGCAAGTATTAGAAATATTATGAGTCCGATCTTAAGGTTTACTTCTCCACATGTGGGACACACAAGAAAGCTTTCTTCACCAAGGCAAAAGATACCAATCGTCACTATGCTCCTTACAAAATAACTATGCTAACTAGCATTTGTTTCTTTAGAAACTTTTTTCTGTCTCCTTTCATTATATTAGTTTTCAGAGCAGTGCAGAGTATAAAACAAGTACAAAAAGCACAAAAAGAAAAAGAAACACTTTGAAACAGACTGAAATGCTTCCTTACATCAATAAAATCTGTGAGGATGCTATCCTAAGGCCACTAGATGCCATCCAGATGGCCATAGGAGACTTCAGAGTCTCATCTCAAACCATGGGAACATGTCAGAACACTCTCCATCCAGCCTCACAGCATGGAAAGAGTCAGGCCAGCTGTAACTCCAAGGTTTCAAAAGCAAGTTCAGATAAAGAATTTTGTGAGTATTCCAGGGAGCAGCAAGAGAAGCTAGGCTCTTTCAGAATACATATTGCTCTGATGGTGCCCCAGATCCTGTCCTCACAGTCTAGGGCAGGGGTCGGCAACCTTTAACACTCAGAGCCATTTGGACCCGTTTCCCACAGAAAAGAAAACACTGGGAGCCGCAAAACCCTTTTGACACCTAAAATGAAGATAACACTGCATATATCATTTTTTACCTTTATGCTATGTATAAAAAAACTATAGTGTGTTGCATTTATGAAACAGATTGGGGGCTGTGTTGTGCTGGCGTGGGTTGCAGATTGGGGGCTGTGTTGTGCTGGCGTGGGTTGCAGATTGGGGGCTGTGCTGTGCCGGCGCGGGTCGCAGACCAGCTGCTGTGCCAGTGCAGGTTGCAGATTGGCAGCTGTGCCAGCATGTGTAGCAGTTCAGAGGCTGTGCTGGCACATGTCTCAGATCAGCAGCCGTGATACATATTTTGAGCAACGGAGCAGCAGCAGAGGGATTAAAGAGCCACACGCGGCTCCAGAGCCGTGGGTTGCTGATCCCTGGTCTAGGGCAAAACACTTAGGGGGCTAGAACCAAGCATCTGAGTGTTTTGCAGAGCAGATGAATCACAGAAGTGTAATCTTCTAAGATCAGAGGTTTATGGGCAGCCATGTTGGATAGGCCCTATTAAATGCTCTAGGTACATTAAAATGTTTTTGCTTGACAGCTAAATTATAGAAAATTTGTTACTAGATGAACCTCTTTGTGGAGGGCATTCCATAATGGGAGTTATGGGTGATATAAAGCAGGGGTACATATACTTTACATCCCATAAATGCAGGACATAATTATGGGAGCAGATACTCCTACAGGTGTATGGCTTGAAGTTGTGCAGGGCAGGGCAGGGCAGGGCAGGGCGAATATTAATTGAAACTTTATTTCTTTTAAATACAGGAAAGAGTGGCTAAAGGTGCAGTGGAAGCATTATCTAGTCTCTATAATACCAAGTATGTATACGGAGCAGCTGCCCCAACAATTTGTAAGTATAGTCAAAGCATGATGTCTTTTGGCTTTCCTCAAAATTTGTTTGATGACTGGCAGGACAGGAGACTGCAAATCTTCAACATTTCCTTTCAGAATTTTGAGGGTGTGATCTCAGTTATATGAGCAGAGGTCTTCCCAATCTTAATGGCAGACTTCCGCAGCATGGTCAGGAAGGTCATGAATATTATGCCTCCTCCTTCCCCTGACACGTCTTCAAACTGGGCCTAGGTCCAGTTTCCACAAGAGGAAAACACCTGAGAAGAAAAATATGCAGCCTCAGAACTCACCACACTCCTCCATCTCCCAGTCTAGCTTCTGTCTTGGAGCTGGCAGGATCCTGCATATGGTTCTCCTGCTGTTGGAGCAGAATGCCAAGGGCATGCTCAGCTGCCAGTGTCTGGCCACCTTCCCAAAGAGGAAATTTTCTGAACCAAGACAGGTCCTCTCTGTCAGCCAAGTCAGCATCCTGGCCCAGAGATAAGTCCTTCTCCTTTTAAAGAAGAGGTATCTTCTAGGGATACATGATAATACAGAAAGTTCTACAGATGAAACTTCTGCTACCCCTCGGCTAGATAGAATTGTTCATCTATAACACACATTTCACTTGTACTCTTCATTAAAGGCTTATTGCCTGCTGAGAAGTCCCTCAGATACGGTGGTGATGGTAATGCAGCAACATTTACCATCACCTCAAAATTTTACCTGAAGGAAACAAGTAACATTTCTCCTACCTAATGTCCAAGAGGGCACAGCATGTGTAAGGAAGAACCAATGAATGAGAGTGAAGCAAAAGTCTCAGGTGCCTATGGAAAGCTTCCTAAAAACTTTCCTCCATTGGCTGTTTGTCCACTTTTGGATACTGAGTGCATCTCAACTTTCCCAAATCAGTCTTTTGCTTCCATCCGTGAGACAAGGTAGATGTTGCCTGTTCTCCATCCCAACTGTTCCCATGGGGTGAGCCGTTCAGTGTAAGCTCTACAAAGAAATAGCACAAGGTGTGGCAGTGTAATATGCAATGCTCTCAGTATCTGCCATTATTTTTTATTTATTTATTTGTTTATTAAAATATTTTTATGCCGCCCCATTCGCCGAAGCCTCGGGGCAGCTTACAACAATTAATTAAAATAATTATAATCATTAAATTAAAAAATATAAACATTAGATTAAAATACAAAAATACAATATAAAATAAGCCGCCTTTGCCAGATAAAATCCAATAATATTAACAGTTAAAATGGCACTTAAATAAAAAGGTCTTCGCCTGGCGCCGAAAAACAAATAATGACGGTGCCAGGCGGACCTCTCTGGGGAGCGCATTCCATAACTTAGGCGCCACTGCAGAGAAAGCTCTCCTCCGAGTACCCACCCTCCTAATTTCTTTCACGGAGGGTTTCTGGAGAAGGACCTCTCCCGCCGATCTCAAGGGGCAGCAGAGTTTGCTATGTGATGCTGCTGCATCATATGGGCATTTTTTTAACGGGGAGAGGTAGCCCTCAGCTGATATCTAGATGAGTTATACATTAAAAATGGATACAGTCCAAGAGACTCAGGAACTTTCTAAAAACCTGTATCCATGTATCATAGTACTGAAAAAAAAACCTCAATGTAACAGAGAGATAGAAAAGAGGGACTGGATTGACCGAACATAATCATGGGCAGTTTTCAAGCCAGGGGTGGCTTGCTGTGTTGTAGGAACCCAGCAGCATATTAAGCACTGTGACTGAGTTTAGACAACACAAAGCACCCCTAGCTTACAAACTGCCATGGCTTATAATGGGAACCAAGTCAGAGAGAGAGATTTGCATTCCATAGTGCGATTCAGCTAGCAGAATCGTTTGCTTTGATTCTACAAGGTTTTGCTGAAAACATTGCACAAGCTGTTGTGCATCCCACAATACCTTGCACAAGGCGCTACATGAATTGTTGCATAACATATTGGACAACTGTTAATGACATCATGGGCATTGCTGGTGCTAGTTCAGATTGTATTTGATGTTACAGTGGCAGAAAAAATGCAAGAGTTGGTATTGTTCAGCTGGCAGTAGCACATGTGCAACCCAAGCTAACACAGATAGCACAATCTGTGATAGGAGTCATGACACCTCCTGATCGTTTTGTGGTGTGAAAAAAAGCAGAAGCAGCAGTAGGAAACCAGAGTGGGACCTTCTACATGCAAAGCATGTGCTCTACCACAGAGTCATGGCCTGTTCCCATATAGGGGAGGTAGTTATGCATCTCCCAGCCTAGGCTATTATAGCAGACCTTCCTGCTTGCATGCTTTGTGCCAGAGCTGCCATTAATCCTACCTTTGATGTCCCTGTTTTTCAGACCCTTGCACTGGTTCCTCTTTAGACTGGGCTTACGACATGGGCATTAAGTATTCATTTGTGTTTGAACTTCGTGACCGTGGCCGGCATGGGTTTCTTCTCCCTGAATCAAAGATTGCACCAACCTGCAAGGAAACTATGCTGGCTGTCAAACACATTGCCAATTATATCCTCAGCTCTGCTCAATGAAGACATATTCATATTTGCTTACAAAAGGAATCCTCTGCTACCATTTCTCTTCTTTTTCTTTGAATTCCTACTCTATGGATTTGCCCCCCCATTGCTTTTTGTCTGTGGCATGATTCTCTTCTGTCATGTTCAACAGCCTTCAGACCTTTGTACCACACTGATAACCTAACCAGGCTTTGTAGTTTTCCTCTTTGCTCCAGAACATCCTTCATTTCATCTTGATAAATACCATTCCAAATATTTTAGGAACTGATTTTCTTCTAGCCTGACATCAGTTGAGCTGCTTTTGAATACAAGGTGATTCACTCAGTCCTTTTGGTAAGGAGAACAGTTGACTTAATCCAAATTTATTGAGACACACATATTTCCATTGGATCACTCATCTTGGATGAGATACAGCCAAAAGACATGACAGATGCAGCGCAAGTCAATTCAGAATACTTAAATGGAGACTTGATACAAATCAGGAGTCCTACACCAGACTCCTGTGTTTATTTGAAAGTGAGAGAGATGTGGCTGCTTGCTACATCTTCAAAGTAATGCATGGCTTGGCCTGTGCTCCCAAATAAGTACACACAAAACTGCAGCTCAAGGCCAAGTAAGCAGTTTTAGAACCAGACTGAAAAAGTGCCTCCAAGTCTCTTTCCATAATTCATTTGCCCATATGAATGCTATTAAAATAGAAAGAGCAAGGAGCCATTTTAAAATCAAAATCCAGAGGGATGTCATAATGTTTGCCAGCACCAAAGCTGAATATATAAAATCCTTGTAAGGTTTACAATCACCAATGCAGCACAAGCTCCATCACTGTTGTGTGGGAAAAAAATGCAACCATCTTCTCAGGTCATTAACTGTTGTTAATACAATTGAGTAATGTGTTGGCCATGCCTGAAAATTGAATGCAAAGCCAACATTGTTGGCAACAGTGGATGCTTGATTTATCATTGGTCTCATACTCTCTCACACACATTAACTAATGTTCATTAGTGATATATTTTGGAGTTTGGTTAGCAGTGGGTTAACTTGTTCTTCCTGGTAGTAGCTTCCTAGTTTTCCTTATAAAATTAAACGGTAAATACTTGGCCTTGGAACATTCTCCATACTTTCATCTCATCCTTCTTCCCATGCCCTCTGTGAACCTCTCCTGAAACCACTGCCTGTTCCAAATTTAGTTTTCCAGCATGTGCTGATATTCCTGGACATAGTCTTCCACTTCTGTTTTTCCATTGCAGTCCTCGATGTAGAAGCACTGAACTCCATCAGAGCTACTTTTCTGCAAGGTTTTCTCTTGTGGCTATGATGGATAGGATGAACAGTACACAGCCATTTACTCAGAGTTGACCAGGCAGCCTCCTTCCCAGACAATTGGCCCTACCGTATTGTCTATAATATTCACACACACACACACACACACACACACACACACTGCACTTGTGAGGAATAACAACAGGAGGAAACAGCTCCAACACCACTTGTGTGTGTGTGTCCACATGTGTGGGTGACTGGTATTAAAGTTTTTAAGACACTGAGACTAGTCAATTGATCTGTCCAAATAAAAATAATATGTTAATCTTATTTTATAGTGTTAAATTTTTGGGGGGTGGGGTTTTATGGGGTGTGTTGGGAGATGTGGGCATCATTTGGATTATTCAATTTTCATTTATTTAGTTTTCTAGTTCCATGTCTGGGTTTGAGTCTTTTTTATTCTATTTATCTGGTGTGGTCAAAGTTAATAATACTCATTCAAGCTGTGTGGAAAGTTTTCACTGAAACTTATTACAGTATAATGACAACTTAGATGTTGTATCATTCCATGACAGGAAACCTGTGCAAAATCTACATGAACTTTGTGTTTGAAGGGGCTATAAGCACGCCACTTTGTTTTTCACTGTTCAGTGTGATTTCCCAATTTGTCAAGCAGCTAAGTATTTTCAATAAGCCACGGGTGTGATTTATACAAGAGTTAAATGCTGATGTTGCTTTTCTCCAAGAAACCCACTTGGCGGGGAGGCTGATGACTCCTTTGTCAGTGGGGCTACTTACTCACTGCAACTTTTACTCTGAGCTTTATAGGGATCTTCCTTTTTTGATCTTCTCTTCAAGTAGACGCCATAAGGTTCCCTGTATATCAAAATGGACAGGCATCTACTTAACTCTAATTTTGCAGTAATAAAAAAAATAGAAGCAGCAGTAGGTAAGCACAAGAAGGTTAAAATGGGAAACAATATCATCTATACCTTCTACACTCCATAAAATTCCATGATGGGGCAGGGCAATTACACAATAAAAGCCATCTCTAGAAGTGCCCAATATCACAATTTAGTCATGAAGTTGTCATTTGTTCCCCATCTGTCCAGATGCTGCACAAAGTATACTTAAGACATTGCAGCTGATCTGCTTTCCAAAAGAATAAATCCACAACCTGAATACATTGCAAAACTGGCTGAACTATATCATTGATCAAGCCAATCTATATTTCATCTGCAGTAATGTAAATTAGATCTAATTCAGTGTAAATAAAGGAGGAACAAACATTGCTCTCTCACATAAGAAGAAAAAGAAAAAGAAATTTTTATGAAATGTCTGGTATTTTCTTTTGTTCCTGATGCCTTTCAATTCCATTTTTAAAAGAGTAATGAACCTAGTCATTTTATATTTTATATTGATTATTCAACAACAGGTCTCTTAATAAAACTAATGCACCAAGTTAAAGACTTTTTCAGCATTCTGAACAAATTCATTCTAAATGGAACTGGTATGCTTTGTTCTGCCACATGGACAATTCAGCTAGTGTTGATAAGTAGCCTAATCATATTTGGTAGGAGTTAACAGCTATAATTTCTTCAAAAACTGAAGTGGATTTGTATAGATCAGATCATAATTACTGCTGCAATCAGTTATCTCTCCTTTTGGAAAGAATTTCCATCCCATACATACTATGGCCATATTTTGCATCCATGAGTTTGTGGGATTTCCATGGGCATTCTGATGGCCACTGGAGGAACAGAATTCTGTATTGGGTAAATCAAATTTTGATCCATTCATCTCCTCTTCTTCTTTACTTTTATTTCCTTACGAGGGGATATGACTGGCATAACATAGTAGTTAAGAGCATGAACTAGGTTCAAAGCTTACCCCAGTTGTGAGGTTACTGTGTGATCTTAAGTCATTCTCTCTTGTCCTTCATCACTCCCAGTCTGTAACATGGGGGTAATCATTGTGAATGGTGACTCCACCATTCACAATGATTGTACAGAGTGCTAAGACAATGTGCTTCCAAAGCAGCAATTAATGGTACCTATTGAGAGTAATGTCATGGTGATTTACAGGTAATAAAAACTGGTCCATCTAAAATGTTTCCTTCTACACATTCATCACAGGGAGAGGGTGCTGTTTTTCCACTGCATCTGGACATCCTACTTAAGGATGGACCATAGCAAAGTAGCACAGCACATGCTTAGTATGCAAAGAGATCCAATCCTGGGGAACTTCAGCCATGGCTAAGAATGATTCCTATCTGAAATCTTAGAGGAACATAGAGTAATCAACTGTAGTCACTGTATATAGTAGGGCAGGTGGAAAATGTATTTCAGCTTGATGTTGATAAGAATCTACTCAGAAAGTTCTCTACAACTTTTGAGATGCCAAAACTGACAAATGCATTCCTCCAGGCCTAGGTCTTTGAGAGCTTTTCTTTAAAGGGTTGTGTTTGGATTCCTGTGCATTCAACTGTGTTGGAGCTGAATTAAGGTTGGCATCTCCCTCCCCCACCCCCCACCCCCGCCCTGATGGGCTTCTCATCATGTATGGGAGGCAGATACAATGTCCTCTTCAGGCAAAGAATAGCTGTACCTGTTGAGCTTGCCAGAGGCAGATGCATGAGAATTTCTTTTCAATTGGTTTTGATAAGAATTTACCAAACTCCACAAAATTCGTACCTGGGAGAGAAACAAATTTAATGTGATTTAAAATGTAAAAATGTGGGAAGAGGCTGACAGATTCACCTGTTCCTATTAGACAGTCTTGAATTTGCCTTGATATGTCAGTTTCTGTGAGGTCAAGCTCTGCACTGGGACAGGCTACAACTGCAGAGCCATTTAAATTAGAAGTGGGATGGGGGAAAGCTTGGAAAATGCCAATTTAAAAGGGAATGGTTTGAACTAGCTCTGGAAACATCAAAGGCTTCTCATTTCATGGGTCTGTATCTCAGACAATCCAGGCACCATTCAAAACAACAACAAACCTAACTGCCAAGCATGCTTACAGCTGTAGAGAACTGCTAATCGATTCAGCTGTAGAGAATTGGATGCCAAGAAACACTTCCCTGTCTGAAACTGGATTCAGGATGTTTTTTCCCCTAAACTCACTTCCAAAAGGAACAAACTAGTGGAATAAGACATATACCAAGACTGACTCCAGCAGGTCTAACTAAAAATGGACTGATTACATAAAAGTGATCTGATTACATCTAATATAATACATAACCATTACTAAACAACATTACATTCAGAACAACACAGAATATATACTGCTAAAAGGTATGTAATTCCCCTGACCATCATCATCGCCTTTGCTCTCTGTGAACGTCAATCAATCTTGTCATCTTTGAAATGTTCTTTTCAAAGGTTTTTGTTAACCCTTGCAGATTCAAAGAATTAGTACAAAGAATGTCAAGCAGGAAGAAAGAAAGCATGATCAATGCAGGTTACTATTTACAGAGTGATAAACAGAATCAATTATCCTGGAAGAAGTAGAGTTCTTCATCCCCTTTCCCATGGAAGTCCCTTCACCTCCTCAAAAATGATACACATAGGCCTGGTTTGCATAATCATTGTAGCCCACAATAGCTTATTTAAGCCACAGTGAATTGCAGTACTCACTGTGCCAGGTTGTCAATTTAAGCAGATATGTCATCTGACCCTGGCAAGGGTGGCTTATCAGAGTGACAAGGCATAATTTCCGGGTGGTTTATTAATAATTCCAACAATCCACTCACTGGGATTGGATGACATGAGAAGCCATGCCAAGCAAGGGAAGTAATTGGGATTGGCTTGTGAGGAGGATTGTTAACCACCCCAACAAACCAGCCTCACCGGGATCAGCAAGGCTAACTAAGGGTTAACCCACATTGGCATGTTAACCGTGCCACACATGCAGGAATGCTAACAAGCCAGAGTGGTTGCTTAACCACCTACATATTATGCAAATGGGCTGAGAGCCTGAGATCTTGCTGAATGGGGAGCATTACAAATTGTGGTAGGGAAGGTCCCAGGAAACCCAAAACTAGGGTGAGGGAATCTTCTACAAGAAAAGCCCGTCCTCTCAAGAAAGCTTCCACCACATGCAAGTGGCACATTTTGTAATTTTTCTGCCAAATGATGTGGAGAATTTGATCTTTTACAGGGATTTTGATCAGTGCCTCCTCAAGGATTTTGATCAACCATTCAAGTGCGGAATTGGTCAGTGATCTTCAGCTAGCTGTTGGAACTGTTGGAGGATGAGCTGAGGATGTGCCTGTAGAATGTCAACAGCATATTCCTTGGTTGCTATGGCATCTCGGTATATGTGTTCCAACTTAAAGGTCAGATATTAAACAATCAGAATCATTCAGAAGTGACTGGATTGGTTTTTTAATGGGATTTCACACATTTCAGACTGGGATGGGGTCAATTCAGAATATAGCATGAGGTTTCTAGGACAGCACAGTTCCTCTCATTTTTATCTTTTCTTCTTGAGAGATTATTTCAACAGTGTTTTCTGTGAAGATACCTCAAGGGGGTAAACAAGAGAGAAGAGAGCTCTAGGGCATTTGCTCATATTCATAAAACGATCCCAGGTTGCGCAACTGAAAGGGCTGTACCCATGCCAGATGACTGAAGAAAACCAAACAAAGCAGGCAAGATAGAAGATCAAGACAGATAAATATACGAGAGTTTCCAAAACGACTTACACCAACCTCATTCTTGTAAGATGAATTCCAATATAATATTTATTTTATAGCACAGCTGTGGTAAATGTCAATAAACTTGCCTATTTTCTGAGAAGGGTAGATATCATGAGAGTAGGGCTACAGTGCCTGCCTAGCTGATTAAGTATTTAGATTAACTGATTTTAAACCCTTTGATCAACCCCAAGGATTATACTAATTGTTCACTTGTTGCTAATATTCCTTTCTTGGGCAAGATACTCAAGAAGGAATGTAGCGGCAGTGCAAATCCAAGTGTTCTTAGATGAAGCTGAATCCGCCTTCCAACAATTATTATTTTGAGTGGAAACCCAAAATATCTGAGGGGCACCAGGTGTGAAAAGTCTCAGGTCATTATGAGAAATGGACTGGAAGGTGTGTGAAAACTTCTTGTGTCTCTTCCTAAACACTAATACACCATCTGTGATCTGTGATGGAGTCCTGTAAGAGAAGGACATTTTCTTCAATAATCAGAAATGTCCCAGGGAACTGAAAATATGTTGATGAACAGCTGTTAACATCCGTTAAAAATGAAGTACCAGATAAGAAATGCTTTAACTTTGCATGCACTTGTATGATAAAGGAAATTAGACTGAAGATAAAACTAATCTTAAACATATTTTTTCAAGGAAAACAAACAACATGGGTTATACTCCTTGCTAGGCCTGCACTCAGGCTTCCTTCAGTATATTAAAAGAGGAACAGCAAAGCAGAATTGATGTGGAATTACTATCCAGAGACAAGAAACCATAGAGATGAGACAAATGATAAGGGAACATTCAAGGTTTGGGAGTCACCCACAAGGCAGGAGAGGAATGAGGAATTGTGTACAGGGGAAGTACACAATTCCTGAGCTCTGACTTCTCATGAGTCCATAGTTTATCTCAAGGCATGCAAATATGAGGAAGAAGAAAATGAAGACATTATAGACATTATACTTCCTTCAGTTTGTTGAGCTTGGATGTTCAGTGTCCTCTTTTATGAAGTATATTCCTTTATTTGAAAGCCTGTCAGATGACAATACTCTCTTTGAAGGCATCCTGTATTTGTGGTGCTCCTTCCCCAATTCTGGCTGAGAGATCTTGAAAAGAATGCAAGAGGTACCTTATACCCCCACCAATTCTTTTCCATCCTACCAATTCCCTTTCACAGGTGGTAGATCCAGCCAACTCCAGTGTGCAAACAGAACCTGCCACTTCTGCAATGGAGATTTAGGACACAATCCTATGACCACCCAATATTTTTCAGAGGATTTTAGGATCATTCAGAGCTGGAACTCCAAAGATCACACCTCTACCTACATTGCAGCTGGAGTGGAAATACCCATGCCAGTGACCTCCCTAAGATGACAAAAGGCCCTTGGTGTGGGGAGATAAAAAGGCAGATGCCAGGGGACAGCAAGGGGAATAGACTAGGGTAATCACCTACTGGCTACCCCAAGTTTTTTCATTACAGTTCAGGAAGGAGTCAGTTTGTTACTCTTATGGTTAAGCAAATGAGAGACAGGTAATTCTTGTCAACCTATTGCAATGAAATTATTGGTCTGTGCCATGGCAATTATGCTATGGTGAACCACAGAGTTCCATTTTATCCATTATGATATTTAACATCTACATGATATCACTGAAGACAGTTATCCAGAGGTATAGGAAGAGGTACTGCCAATAGGCAGATGACACTCAGTCCTAACTCTTTTTCATCAAACCCAGGTGAGGCAGTGGCTGTTCTGAATCAGTGTCTGAGCATGGAATTGGACTGGATGAGGACCAGCAAACTGAGCCTCAGTCCAGATGAGATGAAAGAGCTGTTAGTGGGTGCTTTGTCTGTCCAGTTGGATGATATTCAACCCATTCTGGATGGGGTTGCACCCTCCACAAAGAACAAAGTCTGTAGTTTGGGGGTGTTCCAAGATCCAGAACTGTTGTTTGAGACAACAATGGACTCAGAGGCATGGAGCACCTTTTATCAGCTTAAGAGACTGTATCAACTACAACCCTATCTGGACAGACAGAGCCCAGACACCATGATCCCTGCTCTGATAACCTCTCATTTGGATTACCACACTATGCTGTATATGGGGCTGTCTTTGAAAACGGTCCAGAAACTTTATCTGATCCAAAATAGGGCAGCTACTGTTAATGGGGTTATGCCAGTCCAGCTCTTCCAGCTGCAGTGGCTGCCAGTTGAAGTCCAGGCCTGATCCAAAGGGCTGGCACTAACATTCAAAGCCCTAAATGGCTTGGGGCCAAGTTATCTGAAGGATCACCGTCTCCTATATGTAAGTACCCAGACCCTAAGGTCAACTTTGGGGTCCTTCTTAGGGAAGCCCCTCCAAAAGAGGTAAGGAGGGAAGCTACTAGGAGAAGAGCATTTCAGTTGTGACACCCCTGCGGAATGACCTCCCCAAAGAGGAGTGCTTGGTGCCTACTTTGTATTCCTTTCAGCATCAGGTGAAGACTTTTTTATTCTCCCAGCATGTTAACAGTTTATTTTTCACTCCATTTGTAATATTACTTCTTACTGCTATGTACCACTGCTATGCTTCTATGCTGATTCAGTTGTAATTGCTTTTGTGGCTTAATTGCTTTAAGTTGATTTTATCTTATGTGTTTTATTTTTTTCCTTAAATTTGTTGTCTGTTCAAAAAGCCTCAACTGTTGGACATTATAAAGATTAAATAAATGAATAAATCATTACTCAGAGATTCAGCAGATGATCCAGATCTAGCTCCTGCCCAGTACTGTTTTACTGTATTGATTGGGCAGATTGTGTAGGAAAACATCACAGTCCATATTTTATGCAGCATCTTCTATGATAATATACATTTGAGAGCACTAACAGAGGTTGTAATTGCAATGTAGGCATAACAACAGAAAGCTCGTATTATCCAATGAATGCCCCTGCACATGTCAGCTGATTCTCAAATGGAAGAAGGAAGATGACAGAAGTCAATTGCTTCCAAGGAAAACAAACATGAAGTCCCTCGTGGCTTTGGCCTTGATTGCCACGTCCATTATTCTTGTTTCTTCTCGGCGTTTTGACAGGTAGAGCATTTTCTCTTAAACAAATCAGATTAAGGAAATGTTCTATCCTGTCCTCCTGATACATTATTCATTCCTTGACTTTATGTTCTGAAGTGCAAAGGTTTTTCGTGTGAAGCCTCAGAATGAACAGCAAGTGAGCTTCATGAAGGACTTGGCAAGAATCCTACAGGTGAGATGATTGATTATATAGGATGCTTCTTTTCCCCTTGTCTTTATGGTCTGATTATCAAATATCTTTTAAGAATCATTAAGGCCATTTTTAAATGTTTAACAATGACCCATTTGATTATGATGGTATGAGCTTATCAGAATTCAGCATGCAATAAAACCCTTGTTCATAAACATCTTCTAGCCATTTTTAAAACTGATTACTATTTCTATGCTTACATGTAAAAGGAAAAAATTTCCATGAGTAGGATCCTATGCTGCCCTTTGGCCAGAGAGACCCATGGAGAGCTAGCAGTGAAAGACACTCAAAGGTGTCTAATTGTAAGGTGGCTTTAGGCCTTTTCAGTGCTCTCTGCTTAACTGAGTGTCTCCTTTGCTCTCCACTTAGACTTCAGTGCTTTCATCTTAGCCTGATGTCACCTCTGGCCACATAATATTTTACAAGGCAAAAGTAAACCTACTTGAACAGCCCTGACATTTTAATGGGACTTTTTTGACTTGTAGTTTTGTATGTTTAACAATGATTGAGTAACCTTTGTAATGAAAAGTCTTTAAACACACTTTGCTACCAAATAAGAACAAAACATCTTTGAAGCATAATTGCCCTGGTTGTACAACCCTATAAATCCCTTATAGCTCTACATCCCTTCCCTACCACAGGTTTTTTAATAGGATGCAGGACTCAGCCCTGAATTTGCAATACCCAAGTTTCATTCCAAGAATACAAACTGGCATATGAATGCATTTTTTCATGGGGGGATTTTCTTCAAAAACAGCAGAAAATAGTTTTCAGTTCCTACCTATGCCTTCTCCAGTCATTGCACTGCACAATGGCATCCCTAGGAGGTAGCCCAGTCCTGTTCTTTGGCATCATGCCAATGGTCCAGTTCAGGCATACTGCTAAACCAGGAGTACATCGTGCTTCAGCTAGCCTGAGGCCCAGGAGCCAAATCCAGTCAAGCCAAGGTCCCAGTCCAGCCCTCTGGGGTCCTGTGAATGACCTGCTGTTCTTTCAGTCACACTGCTTTCCTCCAACTTCAGTGCCTTTGGTAGCTTTCCAGCTTTTGTGCATTCCCGCCCCCCCATTCTGAAAGGGATTTTTTGGCCCTGTCCCTTTTGGCTGTGGTCCTACTTCTTCTGGCTTTTCTCCAACCTCCTCTAGAATGCAACACCCAAGAATGTCTCCAAAATAGAGTTTGGCCCTCAGGCAGAAAGAGGTTGCACTAGTTTTATCTTGTGATTGTGAGCTTCCCGGAAGTGTTGTGGCACACTTGGATGGCATACAAATGTTTTAAATAATAAATAAATAAATAAATAAAAAGTCTCCTCAAACTTTAGGTTCAAGTGGTCCCCTCACAACCTTCTCAATGCACATCCAGAGCTTGGTTTAACTGAATAAAGCCAAATGTCCCAAGTATAACATTTAGTTGGCTTCAACTATAGGATACTGGAAGGAAAGATAATCTCCAGCCTGTGAGCCAAATGTGGGCGAAGCAACTCAGCTGGACTTTTCAGATTCTCCTCAGTCCATGCCCCACTTTCCCCAGGACACACGCCTTCATTAGCCCCAGTGCAGGTGATTGACTCCTTCCTGCTCTATTTCAAAGTCAGTGGAGGGAATTGCACACACGTTAGGCAAGGAGAATGGCTGAAGAGAAATGTGTCCTTCCCCACCCCACCCTTTGCATACTGAACAAAGGCAAGAGATACAGCTGTAACTCGATCAATGTTGGGATCTCTTCCCACCCATTTTGGGGTTTGGTCAAACCCACTGAACAAAGATGGACTGTGACAGGCTTTGCCTAAGGTAATATGAACCCAGACAGAAACAAGAATCCTTGCCCTGGTATATCAAGCCAAGCTCAGAAATCACAGCTTGATCCTGGCTTGTTTTAATAAACCATAATGTAATACAATCACAGTTTGTCCTTGTCATAGAGAATTGTGGTTAGTTTAAGTGGATGGTTCTGATCACTGCTTCATAGTTTCATGGGGAATAGAAGAGAGTGTGTCTGAGCCTCAGGTTTTTTCATCTGTCCATCCCTACATCATGCTAAACTGTGGCTTAGCATTACATGTCAACTGAGCACATTTATTTATTTAAAACTTTTCTATGCCATCACCACATGCCTTGGCATCTTGGGATGACTCACAATATATATGATTGAAAACAATAAAATAATCTTTATAAATAACAAATTCAACAAAAGATTATATAAAAACAAAAAACCGAAAACAAAAAGTGAGACGGTTAATGATAAAATATTAGTTTTAAAATAGCAATTAAATAAAAAGGTTTTAACCTGGCACCAAAAAGAATATAAACTCGGCACCAGGCACACCTCTCCAGGGAGTGCATTCCAAATAATGCATTTGTCTTATTAATCCCTCAATAATATGAGACAGAAGCTTTGCTTTCCCTCTTGCTCACTGGGACAGAATTCCCCAAAATTCAGTCTAAGCTCACACCAGTGGTGATATAGAGGAGAATCACATCCCAGAAGGACGGGTAATTAATACTTTAGAATTTGCACGCAAATCTAAGTCAGTTGAATTTTCAGAAATAGACCAAAAGAGATGCATGTATCTAGTAGAACATGTTCAACAACTGCACCTATTTTGGGCCCAACTTCCACATCAGTGATGACTTTAGTAATGAATCCTTTGCATTTCTTCCCGTGCAGCTCAACTTTTGGTATCCAGACACAGCATGGCATATAGTTAGCCAGATGGAAGTGGACTTCCACGTCAGCGCTGATCAGACCAAACATGTCAAGTCTCTCATGGAGCAGAATGGCATGCATTACGAGTAGGTTATACTTATCTGTGTCTCCCATATGATGCTAGCCACTTTGAAAATTGTTCCAAGACTGCAAGTGGGACTTTTTAAAGTAGAAGGTCAAGAGCTCTGTCAGGAATTGGGCATTTTGGAGAGTTTTCATATATGGGGTTGCCATTAGTCAGAGTTAACACATAACAACAACAAAGCCCATTGCAATGTTTCTGCAATTTCTGTAATCATTCTGTACTATGTTTCTGTAAGCAAGTTGCAATAGATCCATCCTTTGTGGCAAAAACATGCACCGATTCTCATAGCTGGAGTCTGCTACAACTGTCTTGCCAGTTAGAGAAGCACTGTAGAAAGAACAAGTCAATTGAGGTGTACAATTAACCATCCCAGGGATGGTACAGCATGGCACACTGCATAGATGCACAGCACACCAAGTTGTTCACAGCACACAGATGTCACAGATGGGAACAAAAAAAAAGGCTTTTTTGGCTCTGGAATGATCTTTCAAGAAAAGCTCCTCTGCTGCTGTGTTTGCAATTGCAATTGCAATTGCAATGATTTTGATAGTGGTTATGGTTATGATTGTGATTAATTTCATTTGTATACTACCCCACAACCAAAGTTCTCCAGGTGGTTAGCTAGCTTGCCTGATCTCTACTATTTTTCTCTTTTCTTCTAGCCTTTTAAAGAATTCACTATTTTAATGTTTCAGATCCGCTATTTTAATCCCTGCAGTGTGGTTTTAATTCTTGTACTTAGTGGTGGTTTTAATTTGTGTGTGTGTGCTGATTCTATGATGTATTTCTTATTGTGATTTGATTATGTTTTTATTATTATCTTCTATACTAAACAATACTTAGAGAAATCTATTTTCTGAGACATTTAATAAATGAAATTAAATAAATAATATAATGGCCCTATACCACTGATAGTCACATAAAAGTCCCACTGGAGTCAATGATATTGATTAACCATGAACTGAGAATGGCAGAAGATTCCATGCTAAGGGCATATCTGTGCTGCATGCTCAAAATGGTTTAATTGCCATTTTTTCTTCTCTGGGGATCCTGAGAATCCCATGTACTGTTGCTGGAAGAAAGGAGAAAAGACTCTTCAGGAGAAACCTCACTATTTCACCAAAGTAGACATCCCAGTATTCTCTGGCAGCAACCATGAGAGCTAAAAGTTGGCATGAAAGTTATGTAGGTCTGTAGCTGTCATAGCATATCCTCATTTCAAAGGGTAGTACATTTTGAGTCATGCAGGATGTAACACACTTTCTCTCCTTATTTCATTGTTTGGTTTCTGTTCCACAATCAAAAAGAACTTACGGTTTATATTTTTATTTATTTTTTATTTATTAGATTTATATTCCACTATTTTTCTTACAAAAAAGGGAGGCAGTCACAGAACTAACTTTAGCTAGATAGGAACCCATGAGATTTCAATTTAAAGGGAAACAAAACCTGCAAGCTTTGTATATTCATTGATACAAGGTATGTAACTGCAAAATAAATTCAAAGATCTAAGTACACTGTGTGGCATTTAGAATTTCCTTACAGCAAAGATGATTTTGTTGCTGTTTTGTGTCACACAGAATCTTATTTCAAAACCTGCAAGAAGATATTGAAAAACAACTCAACAAAAGAGATGCTGCTGGCAGATACAGTTACACAAAATATAATGAATGGCACAAGGTACAGGATGAATTCAGAGATCTGAAAAGAAAGTGCTTTCTAGCAGACGGCTGCATTCAGAGGTGGTGGCGGCCACTTCTCACTCGTTTTGTTTCATGGGGATGCGCCATAACTGAATGCAAGATACATGTTAACCTTGTGATGTATGAAGGGGGTGTGAAGAGCGAAACAGCTACATCTGGGTGTCCTAAAAAAGCAACATATTGTTGTTGTTGTATCGCTACTGCCAGGTATGGGAGAGGTGCCAATGAGATTTCAGCCTCACATGCCAAAATCACTTGGCTTTTGATGCTATGAGCCAGGAACCATTTTCTGCTCAGCCTCGGACCAGTCCTGGTGTGGTGGCTATGGCCAGGCCTGGATCACGACACCACACATATGCCTTTGAAGTACAATGAAAAACACAGGCAAGCATCTTCCCTGCTGGATAGAGCATGCATATATTTTCTACTTGACCATTTCCTGGATGGCAGCTGTGTTCGTCTAAGAACTACAACCCTGCCTCATCTCGAGGTCTCATTCATATTCTGAGCAGACAGCAGAGAAATGAAGAATTAGAACAATCAGGCAATTCCATTGTCCACTGTTCTTCTCAAGAGGAAACAGGATCGCCAATGTTTTATAGGCTTCTCTCTTGAGCCATTAACAGCAGTTAAAGACTGGTTTGAGTGCCATGGTGTAAAAAGTGCCACTTGGTGATTGTGTGGCACAGAGTCCAATTGTTTCCTCTCAGGGGATGAAAGGAACAAATCAAGACCCTCCCCCCAAAAAATTGGCTGCATTTTTATTTCTTTTTTGAATGGGATTGGCAGAGGGCATGGACCCTTCCATCAGGTAGCCTGGCTGCTTGTCCAATATCCCTTCCTGCCCCACCCACCAAGGACATTTGTGGTGAATGGCAAAGTCCAAGGTCTACTGTGGCCCAGGCTGCTCGCATGAACCCCTTTCCATCTGCCCTGTACTTGTTGCCACATCCACCCAGATCCTTTAAGGGGATCCCATTGTGGAGGGAAGCAAGGCGGCTTAAATGATAACATTTTATCACAACTGTCATGCATACGTGGATCAGCTTGTTTATACGGACTAATCTTGCAATGGGAAAGGCAAAAACCTCGCCCTCCTTGCTTGCCAGTTGGAAGGCAGGTAAAATTCCTTCCCAGACCAGATAACAGGAGACTAATATTCCAAGATGTGGGTGGGTGGGGAGGCTGCAGACCTCCAATGATTCTCTCCTGTTCTGAAGCCTCACTTTAATATAACACTCAATTAAAAGTTTTTTGTCCTGATCAGTTTGAATTGGGCATGGGGTAGACCAGCCTCTAACAACAGGGAGTCAATCTGAGAGAAGGGGCCATTAAAAATATCACTGGATCTGACATGGAATAGAGTGTGCATATTGTTTGCATTGATGGGTCTTTTGGACCGGTAATACATTTCTGTTTACCCTTCTCCTTCTCTTTGTGCTTGAGGATAACGCTTTAGAAATGTACCAGTTTGATAGGATTGTTCAGCTGGTGCATGAAGGGATGGAGCTCAGCCCACCAGCCTTCTCACAGCTTTTGCTGTGTGCCCTTGAAAATATACTCACAGCAGAGCCTCCCCTCTGGGATACACCTTGTCAAGTCAATTGGCCTTACATTTAGTAACCCTAAATACATGACTGGAAACTGCAAACAGCAGAGCCTTTCAGTATGGGCTAAAATAGCCTTCTCCAACCTGATCCCATCCGGATATCTTGGACTGCAATTCCCATCATCCCAGAAGTTATGGGGAGACTTGCCATTCTTGCCACATGTCTTAGAGGCCTAGTGTCATCAATTGCAGTCAACAATCACCTTTGGGCTATTTTATCCTCTGCTAGGCAAGCAATTGTAGATTATCCTTTAATCCAGATTTCTGCATGGACTACCAGGATTGTGAAAAAGAACCCAAATTTGGTTTCTCGCATCCAGATCGGAAGCACCTTTGAAAATCGGCCCATGCATGTCCTTAAGGTATGTCATTCATTTCAGGACAATGGTCAAAGAATAGATAATATACTTGAACTTTCTATTTACCGAAATGAGAAATTCAAAAGATAAAAAGATTTGCAGTCCAGTCTTATTCCTTCTTCATTCAAAAGGAAATGGTCTTTGGAACTCCCTGCCAAGGGAGATCAGGCAGTCATCTCCTCTCTGCCTTCTGTCCTTCTGCCACCAGTCAGAGTCAGTCTAATTCAAACATGTTGGCTTGTCTGTTAAGCTGGGTGCTGTTTTAGTCTGTTACCATGTTTCTAAGTTTCATTATTAATTTAGGGCACCATCCAATGTGGTTGCCCAATGTGGTTGCTCAGAAGATGATGGGCATCTGAAGGAAGACAGGAGTAGAACAGAAGCTGAAAAAGCACTGGATTTCCATATATCCTGGTAAAGATTTGCTTGTCCCCACCACACCTCACTCCCCAGTACCTCAGTGCTGGCTCCAGAGCCTCACTTGTACCTTCAACTTGCTGGCTGTTAGAATGGAGGTAGGACACTCAGCTCTGAGCTTCACTTTCTCAGCATTGAAGCTGGGGCTCAAAATGTCCCTCTGACCATCTAGACAGCATCTCACACCTTCCATCAAGGTACGGTTTTTGAATGGCTTGTAAGCTGCCTTGGGTAAAAGACCAGGTTACACATCAAATCAAACGAGTAAGTTTACCAGAGTCTGATGGACTTCCTCCAGAGTAAATGTTTATAATGCTACAGTCTGTACATGTTTGCTATTTGAATGTGGAATGTTAGTTTGGTGAAAGTCTCAGTACATTTGCAAGGATCAATTTTATATAGACAGCTGTACCACCTTAAAAATTGTTGCTTACCTTGGAAAATGTTTCAAACCCAGGTTGGAAATCAGAGAGGTACTGAAAAGGCCATCTTCATTGATTGTGGAATTCATGCACGAGAGTGGATTTCACCTGCCTTTTGCCAATGGTTTCTGAAAGAGGTTAGCTCACTTCTTTTTAGTAGTAGTTGGATTGCAATCATATTGATTGTGATCATAAGCTCCCAGCCTCTCTGAGCTTCTAGTCATCCATTACAGCCCAGGAGGACCAGCAGATGCCATCTTCACCATCCCATTCTCCATCCCTAACTTTTTTGCACATGGACTATTTTGTCTGTGTAGCAACACTGCTTCAAACATGGAGACAAGCAGGATGAAGAGACATCGGAATTGTTTGCATCCTGGCTCCTCTAGTCAAAGCGCTCTGGCCAGTTCGCAACCATGCATAAATACAATGCAAATACAGACAACGATTAAACCACCATAAAAGGTTACCATACAAAATTTAAAAAGTAAATGTAAAACCCATGTTAAAAGGATAGTGGTTTATTTATACAAATTAATTCATGTTCTTGTAAGGTTGGAACACTGGCTCTGATCTCTGAGCAGGGAATCTTCAGTATCTTATGGCCCCTGACAGTATCTACTTCCTTATTTATCCTTTCATATGTGATACTAGAAACAGGGGTCAACCCCAGTGATATGGTTTTGCCTGTAACATCACAGTAGGATATTTTAGTGTGTGTGTGTGTGTGTTAAATTATTATTATTTTAATGTGTATATTTTAATTTATGTGGTTTTAATTTATTGTTGTAAGCCGCCCCGAGGCTTCGGCGAATGGGGCGGCATAAAAATGTTTTAATAAATAAATAAATAAATAAATAAATAAAAATAGCCATTTGGAATAAAATCACCCTATTACTTACTACTACTCCTCCTCTTACTATTATTTAGTCCCCTTTTCCCAGTTAAACAAATTGTGAATTACTTCAATCCTGCTTAGCTAAATGAAGTATCTGGGTGAAGTTTACACTTTGCCTATGGATTTGTTTTAGAAAAGTGATGCATAAATACTAATACATAGAATAAATTCTAGCCAGGATCTCCTATGATGGCAAATTGTGAGCTGGGAAAGTAATACTCTGCACACTTACCTTAACCCTATTAAGCTAAGTGGGTAGTTGAAAATTCATAGGATCATCCTGCAACTCACATCATGATGTAAGTATAACTAACTTGTCAATCCAACACTGTATCACCAGGCCACCACAACCTATGGAAAGGATGAGAATATGACAAATATATTGGACAATATGAACTTCTACATCCTTCCTGTATTCAACATAGATGGCTATATCTGGAGTTGGACTCAGGTATTATGGATAGGTGCTAATGGCAAAGTCTGTTCTTGCCAGATTAAGACACAGTCCTATCCAAATAAACTTCTGAGACCTGGGGCTTACATGCATCAAGGGTGGAGGAGATAGGATTGCCTTTGGGGCACACAGAGAAGTTCGTCAGTACATTTGTTGCATTTTGTCTTTAAGAAATATGGAAAATAGCATTCACTATGGAGAATAAAAATACGTACTAATATACTGTGTCTGAGAGCTCAGTGTACTTAACTGGTATAATTCCATTAACCAGGATAAAAGTGGTGTAAGATAGATTTCTTAGCAAAATGCAGTTAAGGTAGGCTGCATATTAAGTCCATGCAGATGCTACAGGTTTGACTCTTTAATGTAAGGAGACATTCCATTAATCTAAGGAGACATTACATCTCTTCTTCATCTTTTGGGGGAATTAACCATCCTTGAGAAGACTAACTTTATTTGCAAAAATGTAAATAAACAAGGGATAAGTATCAGAACGCTTGTGATAAACAAGGCAAAAAGTGACTGTATCAGGTGTCATTTGCTAGAAGAGTTGCGGATTAATGCTTTTGAAAAATTCATCAGAGGGAGAAGTGCCATTGAAGGACTTGGCACATGGTATTTATCCACAATCTCTCTATCTACACTGTGTAGACAGGAATTACATTTAGGGAATTACACTGTCAAAGGCAAGTCTATTCATCACTTACATGATAACAGTATCATCTCATCAGTTTTAAAGATGAAAGTCTCTATTTTGACCATGTGGGTTTTGTGTTCAAAATCAATTTATTCCATTCACAATTCATATAAACAAGAAAAAGAATAAAGATGTGTCTATAAGTCATTTTGAAGTCCCTCAATTTTTTTGTCAAGCAGGACCGCTTCTGGAGAAAGAATCGTTCCAATACATCCAACAGTGCCTGCATTGGTGTTGACCTCAACAGGAACTTTGATGTCGCATGGGGCAGTGAGTAAACTTTCCCCAGTCTGCTTACTTAAAAGGAATCCCATTAGTTTTCATTAGTCTCACTTGGAATAAAATGGGTTATCTGCAACCATAAATCTACTAGTGGGCTCTGTCATTGTCATATCCACACATTTGTCTGTGCACATGTGGTCTACTGATGCTCAATACAACCTCGGAGGTTAGTAGACAGTGATGTAACTATATAATTTTGGACTTTAGAAGTAACGGTCTTATGAGAAGTGTAAGGTATGGCCATGCTGTATTAATTTGGTGGTGATGCACTCCCTCCAACCACCATTCTACAACCCTGATATTTTAGGATAACAACACTAACCCTTTAAAAAATACTCTCAGCATGTGCAGTATTGAATTTTATGTCTAGAAATAATGTGGAGCTCCTCTCATGCCTTCCTCACATAATGCTTAAGGATGGTATTAAGGGCCCCTGGTCTTTGGCCCCAAGTTGTGCCACTAGAAGATTGACCATTGGTATTTTCCCCCCAGGAATGTGGAAGTAAAAGTTTGAATTGGGAGAAATTTGCTATCTTCTCCTGGAAGACAGAATTCAACCAGGCAGAAGCTTTAGCTTGTGTTCCTGGAGAATTCTTGTGATGGTACAAGAAAACCACTATATCATGGAGAAGCTAGATCACGCTACCATATTTAGAAATGCACAAAAGTAAAATTAGTGACTAGCATACAGAATCTAAGTCAAATGGGGCATCTGGAATGGATACAATTACAAGTCACATCTAAAATTAAAGCTATAATTAATTTCTCAGAAGCATGGGCATTTGTATGCACAGTACATCCATTTCTTTAAACACACTGTATAATGTTAGAGAAGTGTATGCTGTTTAACTGCAAGATCTTAAAATATTTACAAGTATTCCACTGTAAGAGCACTTCACGATAAGTGCATCCACCAACCAAATATTTTGGTTCAGCAACTTTGGGCTACTGGAAAAAAACTTTCCAGATATTGGTACAGCACATAAAAGTAACATTACATCTTTTTGTTTGTTTATTAAATATGCATCAAATAAACATGCTAAATCAGAGCTCCATTAATTCAGAGCAATGGGACATTTTTTGGTTCAACTTTTTCTGGAAAATCTACATCCATCTTCACTTGGTTAGTGCAGACTAAATGAAACACATAGTTATCTGAATGGAGGTATTCTTTTCACCAACAGAATTTGATGCGTCTGAAAATCCATGTGAAGAAGTATATTGTGGATCTTCACCTGAGTCTGAACAAGAAACAAAAGTAGTTACAGCCTTTATCCGCAGCCGTATTTCTTCAATCAAGGCCTACCTGACAATGCATTCCTACTCTCAGATGGTGTTGTTCCCATATGGCTATACCTATGAGAAGACACCTAACCATGATGAACTGGTATTGTGATAACGAAAATCTCTTCTTTTCTAATATCGATATATCAGCTCTATTCTTTTAAAACTCAGACTTCAAATCATATAGTTCCAAAGTGGTGTGTACCTAACTGAAAGAACTACAAAATAGGCAGAGTTTAGGCCTGTTTGTACCCACACAGCACTCATGCAACACACCTTTTTGCTAATCTTGAAAGGGAATCCTGAAATGCGCCGTTATGCACAACTTCTAAACCCCTTTGTTGAAGTTCTCGGGCCCACATTCCAGTAATGGGTGGCTACAGAGGCAGGAAGGGTGGGTCCATGTTACCAAAACATACCAGCAAACCTAGTTTAAACCTCTAACCACCAGCAACTAAGCATTAGGAGAGACATGTTGGTGTTTTAGACACTCTGGAAAGCAGCTGAGTCCAGAGGAAGGGGGCATGGTGTCTCTGGAACTGTGGATGGCTGGATTAGGACTCCAGGTGGGAAAAATTTCATTCCCAAGCCTGATGTTCTGCACCTCTGTTAACAAGACATCAGCATGAACAGTACCATAAGCAGAATGTGGCCAGTGGATGCACCAGCCTGGAGCTTTCTGATTTGCTCCTAATAATAATAATAATCCCAAAACAATGCACTTTAATTTATGACATTTCCATGCCTTTTCTTCTCTTTCTTTTCAGAATAGCAGCAAATATAATCTGTGCCACCTGATAGCCAAGAGTCTGTGACAAAATACTTACATTATAAGGTACAGTTTGGCTCTCTGAACATCGTATAGTATCTCCAGTCTAACATGGGGGCATGAAGGAATGGAAGAAATGGCCATTTCCAGGGCCAATAATTACACCAGGATGAAGCAAGCAGTATCTGTTGTGCAGCTGTGTACATCATTTCAGATTAACCTGATTTATCCACTGTTTGACTCTCTTGAAAGGAAGTTTTGCAGACTGTTACTTACATAATCAAGTACAAACATGGCTGAAGTGGGTAACGCTTAGTGCAGATTAGCTTCCTACATTATAAAATATCCCATCGGACTATTTTATATGGGTACAACTCAAATATGGTTGGAACTGCAACAATTTCCACTATACTGAAGTTTGCAAGATATTTTGTCACATGCTCTTGGGTCTTTGATAATCCAAATGGACGGTGCTTCAAACAGCACTCGCCTGATTGGGTCAGACAAGATTCTTCTTTGTGCATTGTTCAATATCATCATCATCTTTATACTTAAATAAACTTGAAAAGAAAGGGAACATCCCTTAGTAACTAGAGTAAATGTGAGTAGAATGCTTACAGGACAGAAGGAAGTAACTTATAGTATAATCCTATACATGTTTATGTATTGTGAGCCATCCTGAGATGCCTAGGCATAAGGGACAGCATACAAACATTTTAAATGAATAAACAAATGAACAGATATCTACTCAAAATATATTTATCTTTGAGTTCAGTGCGACTTATTCCCTGGTAGGTCAATACAGGATTGCAGGCTTAAGGAATATGTTATTTATTTAACAGTGTAAGCCTTTATGCATTAACTGTGTACAATGACATTGATTCCTAGTAAGTGTTTTTTGGATTGGCAGCACAAGATAATGTATTTGTCACAATTGGGTACAATACGCTGAACATCTAAATAATGTCTGTGAATCATGCCATATGTTTCTGATGCTAACAGTTCAGAGAAACTAATATATATATAGATGCATAACTTTGGCAAGAAAGTTATACAGGCTTCTGTTGATTGTGAGAAAACCACTGGCATTCCATTCATTTCTTGGAAATCACACCTGGAAAAATAGCAATCCTACCTAGCAAGATGAAGGAAGGTCCTGAGCCATAGACAGGCAAATGTGAGAAATAAAGAGACATGTAAAAAAACAAAGAGAAAATGTAGAATGCTTTGCATAAATGCACACTATGTTCACATTCACACTGAGAATAGAAGAAAACACAAACTATTTTTGTTTGTTGAAAACTAGAATGAACTTGCGAAAAGAGCTACTGAAGCAATAGGCAGCCTGTATGGGAAAAAGTATAAGTATGGGACATCCGCAACTACCATCTGTAAGTATTTTAAATGTGTTCATAAAACACTCTTGCATCCCTTTATAAATACAACCAGTTCAGAATACATAGATTTAAGAATGTCAAAGCTTCCTAGCTGCACATGTGAAAGAAACACAGTAGCACACAGAGGTAGCGCTAGGGAAAATGTCACCTGCGGAGAGTCAACCTTACTTTCCATGGAGCTGTTAAAGGCAAGGAAGCCCCATCAAACCAAAGTCTGTCAGTTCTAATTTTTAATAACTCAATGTAGAAAGGTCACGTTTTGACCAGTGCTTCAGCTGGAGCTTGTTTCTGGTTAGTGTGTCAGGATACTGTGCGGAAATGTTGCTTCATACAAATAGATGTCCCTCTGGCCTGATCTAGAAATGCCAAGGAGGCTTTGGAGAGCTTTGAAAAGTTTTGCAGACAATTGCAAGATTTTGGCCAATCTTCAACAGTATGATTGTAGACGCAAATAGTGGTAGACTCAAAGCGCTGTTGAGCTTTTCTGCTAGCAAGCGGCGGATCATTATGCTTGTGCAATCACTTGTACAAGCACTTATGCAAACTATTGCAGAACATGCAGCACAAGCAGAATGCACAGCAGTGGGTGGCATGAGGAAAACATGTAACCAGTTGAACAACACACATAATGCACAACTGCATTTGCACAAGTGTAACTTCAGGTGGATTCTGCTCTTGCACATATTTTGGAACATTTTCCCACTAGCTCAGCACAGTTTGCACTAATGGAATAACACAGTAAGATACTGCCTTTTATCTGCATTTTAATTATAACTCAAGTTTTCTCATTAAGGAAATTAATTATTAATTTTGTAGTCTTTAAAGTGCCACTAATTACTTCTGCCATGTTTTCTGCATACATGGGCAGTTATTCACATGCTAAATAAATAAGGCTTCATACCTTTCTAGTCCATTTTGGGCATAATTTCTCCCTTGGTTAACATTCATTACAAATTGGCAGAGACTTAGAATTCCATATTCACCAATAAAACAACAACACTAACCACTAGTATCAACAATTTTTCCACAGCTCCAACTAATTTTATTGCCATGTTTTACAGATCCTTCTTCTGGTTGTTCTGATGACTGGGCTTACAATCAGGGTATCAAATACTCCTTCACCTTTGAGCTTCGTGATAAGGGCAGATATGGCTTTCTCCTTCCTGAATCTCAGATCAAGTCAACTTGCCAGGAGACAATGCTGGCAGTCAAGCTCATTGCTAATTATATCCTCAGCCAGACATAGACTAGTGTTTTCTGAAATATTGCAGGAATTTGGAAAGTAATAAATCATTACATGTATAAAGAAAGGACTCAGAGTGCCAGTTGCTAAACTATCATTAGGCCATTAGAGAGAGGAAGGAAGGAAGGGAATGTCTTTATTTTCATTAGGATCATCAAGTTTTGAGTAGTGGAAATATGTCGTTTCAACTATCATTCTGAAAAAATTCAGTATTATGTCATAAATACAATCGTTTGTTTAATTTAAAATAAGAACATAAGAAAAGCCATGCTGGATCAGACCAATGATTCATCCAGTACAGCAAATATGTATATGCTCCTGCACATAAAATATGGGTTCTGCAGCAATTCACAATAAAACAACAGTTTAAAACCCCAAGAAAAATTTAACCTAAAATACTAACCTTAGCGATCCATGAATGAGATGGAAAGTAGGATCCTGGATATACTTGTTGCCTAGGGCAAATCTTCTTAGTAAATTGATAACAGTGAGTTGGTAGATGAACTATGGGACACAACTGTACCCTCTTTCGAGATCTCACCGCGTTAGTCTGCTACAGCCAAAACAGCAAAGAATCTTGTGGCACTGCAGAGGTGAATACATTAATTCTGACATAAACTTTCATGGCCTAAAGACCACATCATTGTGGCAGTACACACTCCACGTAAGGTTATGACAGAATTAATTTTGCAGTCTTTAAACTGTCACAAGTCTCTTGATGTGGTTCTTCATGGAAGTTAGATAAAAGATGGCCATTTTCTCCATAGAAATAAAATTGTCTAAAATCCAGGAGGTGTTTAAACGGATCCCCTGCATAACGTGTGTGCAAAGGAATTAAATGAGAGTCGACACAGCACCAAAATAGGTGCTATGTGTCACTTCCACTTGCTTAGATGTTTTTTAGAATTTGAAATAGCAACTGTGGGGAATAGGACTATTACTATGCTGCATGGGAAGGAATGGTATAACTTTATCCTCTCATACTATGGTTCTGACAAAAATGCTCCCAGGCTGCTATTTCTATTAGAACTGAAGATTCCAGTGATGCCAATGGAAGCTTCATTTGCAAAGCAAATAGCACCTTTCAGAAGGTTGTTTTCACTGAGATCATAGTGTGGGTAAAAAGTGTTACTCAGCCTTCCCAACCAGTGCAGTCCTGATCCTGGTCCACAACCCCAGCAGCTATTTGCAATTGTTGAAACATTTGCGCAACTTAAAACTACACAATTAACATCAATTTCATCTTAAGAGATGCATAAGGCAAAAACAAGACATCCCAAGTTTGCAGTCCCCAATTCTCTCCCCGTCCATATAGTCTCTGTTCCTTTTTTTCTAAGCACATGATTAGAAAATTCACTATAGCAATGTGTACAAAAATGGCATCCACATGATACATTATCTACCTCTTTCCTTTCCTCACGGCTCTTCAGTTGTGTTGGCTTACAGGTCCCATGATTCCTCACCACTGGTTATGCTGGGAAAGAAGGTGGCAGCAGCTGTTCTCCAAGAGTGACTGGGAGCTGCATTCCAATTCCCCACGATGCCTGGAAGTCCCCAGTATAGTATCACTCTGGGTCATTCTGGGAAATTTAAACAGTAGTTCCCAGACCCAGCCAGCCAGCCAGCCAGCATGGGTGGCCAAAGGCAGGCTTCAGCGCTCATGGGCTCTCCTGGAGCTGTAGTAGCTTACGAGGCCAGCTACTGATTGAAATGGCCCCAAAGATCTTTCATCCAGCCTCCTGATCTCTACGGTTGCCCATTTCTGCACTTTTTCAGAATACCCTTTGTGAACTGCAGTGCCCAGAATTCCACATCTGTTCATACCATACATTTGTGTAATCTCTGTTGTGTTTGCTATACTGTGTTATTTGGCCTTCAAGGATCAGAAACTACAACTAGTTCTTACGGTGCAGATGTATGCTGCTCTGTGGAGGAAAACATCATTTATAATGGCACTGCCTTAACTCAAAGTTAGATTGTTCCATTTCTATGTAAATTTTTTCCATAGCAAAAACATCTAGAACTAAATCAACAGTGCCATCTTGTGGACAGAATGTGGTGCAATTTGGTAACTGCTTAGAAAGGATGTTGCCCCGCAAAGAGCCAGAGGGTCTTCTCAGTGGCTGCTTGTTTGCAGAATTCTCCTTCCAGGGAAACTCACCTGGTGCCTGTGTTGATGCCTTTCCAGCACTGGCAACTCTCCAACTCTTTATTCTTCCAGGTCTTTTAACACTGGCTTCCAATAGTTTTATCTGCTGTTTTAGGTGTGCCACTATTAAGAGTATTGTTTGTTATTTAATGTGTGTGCAATTGATGGGAGCCACTTTGAGAATATTTCTAATGAAAGGCAGCAAACAAATTCATTGAACAAATCAACTTCCCACATGTAGATTCTTCAAAAACAGTAATAGGAACTGAACAGATGCATTAGCACATCAGAAAACACTGGAAAAGAGCAAACATTCTAGTTCAGAATTAGCATCCTTTCCAGGGCATTTATTAACTCTTACACTATCAACATTGGCCAAATATAAGGCATTGCCATATCTTATTTTATATCTCATAGCAAATTAAGCAAGAAAACACCTCACTACAGCCGCCCCAAGACATTTTCCTGCCAGACATGAAGGACAAGATGCAACCACAATTGCTACCCACGCCAGGTGCAAAGACTGACTGGACTTGCAGCTGGAGCTGACTTCAACACTAGCAACAGGGCAGTGCAACTGAAAGCAACAAGCTGGCTTTCAGGCCACAGCATATGCCAAAGGGCAGACACAACCCTGTCCTCACTGCTGCTCCTGGTCCCAGCGGGCCCAGCAATAAGCCAGCAGGCTGGTGAGAAATGGACGGTGCATGGTTTGGGGGGATACACCATTAAGCAACCAGGGTTAGGTGGCTCAGATGTAGCATTCTCAGTCCACAAGCATCAGATCAAACGGGCAGACCAACTGAGTAACATCTGGCATTCCTGTCATCTGTTCTATAAGCAACAGGAACTACCCAGAGGGTGGATTTAATTTATTTATTTACTTACATATAATTCCTTCTGACTGGGGAGGGAAAAGAAAGATTGCATGTGGAACCAACTTCGGGGCACAAGCCATATTTCCCAAAGAGCTCATATTCTGACTTCACTGGTGCCTTTTCCGAATGACTCCTGCAATGACTTTTTTGTATCATGAAGCCAGCTTAGCTGGCCAGTTTTAACATAATAAAGACTGCAGTCAGAGGCATTTTGGACGATAGCTTGGAAGGAGGGAGGGGAGGGCAGGCCAGCATCAGCCAAGACCCAGTGCATACTGCTAAAGGCTGGATTCCTTCTATGTCAGGACCAGCCCAGGGTATTTTCCTGCATGAGGTGGAGGAAGCGATGGTGCTCCTCCATTCCACGTACAAAGAAAGACAACTAGAATCTTAGGTCAGCTGTGCTGATGGAAGAATGCCTGAGGAGGACTACTAAGTAGTAGACTAGCATGGGGGCCCAGGGAAGGCACACCCCACTCTGACTGGGTCTGCACAATCTGACAGCCAGGGGTGTGATGCTATCTAGACAGGGCCCCAGCAAAGCTTGGAATCCTAGAATAGTAGAAGTGGAGGGGCCAGAGGATTCAACCCCCTGCTTAGTACAGGAGTCCAAGTTAAACCAGCCCTCTCAGATGGCTGTCCAGTTGCATCTTCAATGTCTCTAGTGTGGATCCCACAACCTCCCTTGATCACTGGTTTTATTATCACACTGTTCTAACAGTCAGGAAATTTTTCCTGATATCTAGCTGGAATCTGGCTTCCTGTAACTTGTTTGCTTATTTATTCAATTTGTATACCACCATAAGGTTTATTGTCTTACTGGATTGTCATGACATGCAAACATCCCATGGCATTTATCACCTGATGCAGTCAACTCACTCTATATTCATTTGCTCTGAAATAGCCTGTTCCAATTTGAAGGCTCACCTGCAGAAGCCATCACCAAAGATCAGAACCAGTGGCAGTGGCAGTGTCAGACACATGGCCAGAGCCGGCATTTGCCTCCACTCAACAGGAAAACTGAGCACTATGGGTGCACCTATGCAGGGAAACAGGGCTGCCCAGAGAAGGGGGGAATCGTTGCACCCTCTTGTACTTTCCTCACCACTCCATCTCTCCAGCAGGGCATCCCAGACTCAGCTTACACAGAAGCCTAGCTTTGCTGAGCCTGCTCGGTCCTTCAGAGCCAGGCTGCCTCTTCTGAACCTCCCTCTCACTTGACAGATGAGGTTAACAAAGGGAGGGAAGGGGGAAATTAGAAGTCACACGGAGAAGGAACTTTCAAGGGTCTTGGAGCCTCTGGGAGTGGAAGGTGTTGAGGGAATCCTGCTGAGCAACCTAACATTGGGCAGGTCATTTTGGAAGCAGGCCCACATGCATGTGCCTCAGTGCCAGACCATCTTGGGTTTTACAGCTCTGCACCAGCATGTTACATGTTATTTGTTTATTTAGCTTGTCCATGATGCTATTTATGCTGCTGTTCAACATAGGCTGCTAGAATGCTGTATGACTAAAAGAATAACACAGTAAACTGCAACGGCAGTCATATGGCTTTTTTATTCATTTTTAATTCAGGTGGGTTGCTGTTGTTTATTTTTAAACTGAATTGCAACAATACAGTACAAGAAACTGTACTCCAAAGCATTTAACCTAATGAATTTACCCTTGCCTAAGTGATCCAACTTTTCCCTCAAAGAACCGTATAGCCTTTAACTGTTCTTCCACCCTTTCACTATCACCAACCCCAGGATGCCAAAGAAATACTCTTGATTTATTAAGGGTGCATATTTAGGCAAAATGACATCCCACAACTCCCAGGATGCCAAACTGCTTATCTGGCTTTTAGTGCTCAACCAAAATTCTTCTATTATTTTATATGTTTGATATTAAACCAGCAGAGGGCATTATCAGCTCATACTGATGCTCTGACTATGAATAGATAGCTTGTGGCAAAGCATTTTTCTCCTCCAAAGACC